ACGGAGCCCCTAAAGGGACATCCAAAATTATGTTTTTATCTCGTGCGCACGACATAATATCTCGTGCGCACGAGATAATTATCACTGGCGCACGACATATATCACGTGCGCACGAGATAATTATCACGTGCGCACGACATATATCTCGTGCGCACGACATATATCTCGTGCGCACGACATATATCTCGTGCGCACGACATATATCTCGTGCGCACGACATATATCTCGTGCGCACGAGATAATTATAAGCATTAACGGAGCTTGCGCATGTCGTGCGCACGAGATATATGTCATGCGCACGAGATAGTATGTCGTGCGCACGAGATAAAAACATAATTTTGGATGTTCCTTTAGGGGCAGCGTACCAGACACGCTGCTTTCGTTACACACAAACTCGTCCGCTGCAAGTGCAGCAAGCTCCGTTAATACTTATAATTATCTCGTGCGCACGAGATATATGTCGTGCGCACGTGATAATTATCTCGTGCGCACGAGATATTATGTCGTGCGCACGAGATATTATGTCGTGCGCACGTCATATATGTCATGCGCCTGTGATAATTATCTCGTGCGCACGAGATATTATGTCGTGCGCACGAGATAAGAAAATAATTTTGGATGTCCCTTTAGGGGCTCCGTAACTTCATAAAACTCCGTAACTCCGTAAAATATATCTCATAAAAACGAACTTCGACAAAATGTATCTCATAAAAACGAACTTCGAGAAAATGTAACTCATAAAAACGAACTTCGAGAAAATGTAACTCATAAAAACGAACTTCGACAAAATGTATCTCATAAAAACGAACTTCGACAAAATGTATCTCATAAAAACGAACTTGGCGAAATATATAACTCATAAAAACGAACTTGGCGAAATATATAACTCATAAAAACGAACTTGGCGAAATATATAACTCATAAAAACGAACTTGGCGAAATATATAACTCATAAAAACGAACTTGGCGAAATATATACTTGATGGCACTACAGGGCTTTCGTAATAAAGGTTATTCGAATAAACTATTTTAAACAAATCAACTTTTGTTCATTGCCATTGCCGGGTCAGTCATGCACGTTGAGGCCTATGTCTTAAAACAACATGGGCGGCAAACAGCATGACAGGTCTAGATCGCATGGAATTTGAACAGAATATCTCGCTAGCTACCACACAGGCCTCCATCCCCTCAAACTCAGAGCGACAACACTAACGATATTATAATTTGCTATGTTTATATTCCTCCATGCCATGTTGTATAGGCCTCGTTAAAAAACAACTTACTTGCGAATAATTGTCCTATTCTTCAACGCTCCTTACTTCCCGACTCCAGCAATCTAATGCTGCGCACACCTTGACTATACTCCTCGTCGATTTTGATCAATTTAGATCTCTGTTTCTTTCATTCTTTCAAAAATGACAAAGAAACCGAAGAAAACCCAACTTCATTTTTTAATCCTCCGTTCGAAAGTGTACACAACTCGAATGCGAAATCGTGTTCTTTACCCTTTTCAAAAAACGCGCGCGCGGACGCACGTTCGTACGCGATGTCCTATCCAGTCTGTGTATATGGAGATCAATGGTTGCAGCTGACTAAAGGGCCAAAAATTGCCTACGCGCGGCCAACTAACAATGTGTATACTTTCAATTTTCTCTTAAGAGAGTTATGTGGCCCTGCACTTGAGGGTTTGTAGATATGAAGGATCCCAGCTCTGAACCGGTCTTTGATCTTGTTTTTGACAAATTAGGATTTGAAATTGGACACGAAAATCACCCCATTTTGCAATGGAATGAAGGACTTTTATTATTTTTAAATGGCGACTGGCTTCAGGTCCACTTTTGGGGTGATCATCTTTGGAGGGAAAAATCACCCCAAAGTTATTGGTGAACTTCCAAAGAAAGTAACAGAAAGTGCACATGAAAGAGGGCGAATCAAGCTTTAATTCTGATATAGGCCTATGCATTGATCATCTTCAATTTTTTTTGGAACTGGGATCGAGGAATTTATCATCGGAATGTCCAATAACGAGAGAGTAGAGCTCGTTTGCGTGGACAACAGAGGGCGTTGTGGTATTAACGTCTCAAGGGGTGCACACCAGCTTTTACATGATGTGTCATGAGTATTTTTCACAATTTTTGGAAGTGGGCGTGATTATTACTGAAGTCAACGGCTGTTTTATGTATTCCACCGATATCGAGCAAGTTCGATCAAGGATCGTAGGTTGACTAGTGTTTGTTTCGTGACGTATGTTGCACCTGCGCCGCTCTTGGTACCCAGCGATAATTATAACCGATAGGCTGGTCCAAAATTAAAGTCAGTTTACAAAAGCCCATTTACCCATGTTAGACTAGCGTGCGTTCGATGAATAAAGCCCACGCTCCCCGGATACTTAATCAGCTTTCCAACTTCACCATGTCAAAGGTCAGATTGCCAGGAACTATAGTCGTGATTTCTTGAACACTCCAAGTTACGAAGTAATGAAAAACGATTATTATCCACTTTTCAGGAACATCAGCATACCAATACCAAAATGTTCAGATTTGTCGGTAAAACATATTTTGGTAAACAAACAACTGTATTTTTGGCGCCAATACCTGAGGTTTTTTCAATGGTATCTGATATTACAACACACTGACTTTGGAAAGTGTTCTCTCGTTGATTTACGATGGATCAATTCTATACAAAACGTAAACTGATTAAATTACATATCTATAACTGTTGTGATTGCGAGTTGTGGTAACTGTTTTATTGTCGATTTAATATAATGGGACCGACGGGGCCAATGTGGGCGATATGCGGGCCCCAACAGTCAAACATATAGAGTTCCAAATATCTACAGACGCTAAACCAATAGGTGTATCCCGGGATGGTGGGGGCCTAGGTGGGTCTCACAGTCGCTACAAGTAGTGGTAGCCTTCCCCGATTTGTACCACATTTACGAAGGTGGTACCATTGATGTGGAGCCTGATTTCTTCAAGTGTCTTTTACTCTGTATGAATTACGGCTCCAGTCTGACGTTGCTATATAATTTGACTCGTAATGAAATGGCGTTTGTGCTAAATACGTGTGCAAGGTAAAGACAATGGCAACCGGATTTGAATGTGTGTTTCCTGTGTATCTAACCTTTGAATATACAGGGTGACCCTCCAGCAATGCAACCCTGAAACATTTGCTTTGTTTCAAAAACGAGATCTGTGAATTGTTATGTTTTGGATATCAGATTAAAGCTGAGAGGTTTTTCTTTCAAATGCTGAAAAATATCATGAAAACAGCAAATTGGGTTTCTGAGAAAATGCCAATTATGTAACACAACTCCTTTTTGGTCCATTCCAGTGGCATTACCACAGTTAAGGGATTACACTGTACCTATTTGTGCATGAAATGCATGTAGCGCATTGTGTCCTAATCCTTACAAACAACACGGAACATGACAAGAGTACGAATGAATTTGATGGAAATACCTTTTGTTTTCCACCCGAACAGGTATTTTATCCTTTTAGTCCTATTTTGAACCTTTTCAGCATCATAAATATGTCCAAAAACTGAAGAAATTGCACAATTAATGAAAGACATATTAAAATAAATGTTTCTTGACTGTGGTAATGTCATTGAAATGGACCAGGAGTGTTGTTACATAATTGGCATTTTCTCAGCCACGCAATGTCTCAGCTTTAATCTCATATCCAAAACTTAAAAATTCATAGATCACGTTTTAAAAAAAAAGGACAAATGTTTCAGGGTTGCATTTGTTTGGGTCACCTGTATATAGTAAGCAATCATAAACACCGATATTTTGCCATTGGGAGACGAATATATCTTTAATTTAAAAAAAATGTATGTTTTGGTTTACATCTTGACCGGTTTTCTTTTTCTATGTACAGCCATCCATGCAACATTTTCTGGAAAGAAATGTAATCTACACCGTATATATTACCTTTCTTTCCAGAAAATGTTCCAATTCTAGTCTAACCCCATCCTGTTATTGGGTTACACGTCCTCATCTGTAATTGGCCAGGTTTCGAGGAAGAGGCCAACATCGAAAGCGAAATGACAAACCATTTCTGGAAATATTTCCGAGTGAATACCTAGGATCAATGCAGGCTTATAATTGGCACCGTTCACATACATCTATATATTCCCTTTAGTGTCGTTACGTTACAAGTCGTTTGGTCTAGCTTATTCACCGGCGAGTGTTGCTGGCCGAGTATATATATATCTGTGATAATTCACTTGATCACGCACTGACGACAAAGACCAGTCTGCAACGGAGAGCTCCAGTTGAGATAGTCTTCGGTAGGTGTAGTCTTGGCCTCTAGATTTGGAGTTTATTACGGAACCCAGCCAGTCACTGACAAGCCCGGTGAAGCTGCCATGGCGTGCGGTAGAGGACGCTGTCAACAGTTATGTTGTCTTAAGAACTTTGGCAGCGCTACCCAGGAGATTTCAGGCATATACTCCGCGCGCACGCATTACCTTGTATTTGGGAGTAAAATACAGCATCCAGCCTCGGGCAAAGACTACGGTATAGGTCTCGATCAGTTAAGTTTACATGTAAAATTAAAAAATCAATGGTTCTTGATGAACACTTTTTTTTTCTCAGTGTGGTTGAAATAATTATATAGTTAACCACTATTTTGTATACGATTTTGAGCGAACTTTACAGTTGCGATAACTTGGCTCATGTGGACATCTGAATGGCTGCAAGCGTGTACACTTCACGCTTGCATGCGGTTTCCATTGTGTCAGTTCATGTCAGCAGTGCTGCAACTCCAAGATGCACGGCAACTTACAGCGCCCCTGTCATAATATTATGGAAACTCCCTGCATTAGAATATTTCAATTAATATGCGCACACAGTGATCAACAATAGATTTGGTCTCCAAACGGTGACGGCTCGTGAACAGTAACGTATCAAAAGATGTTTGATGAGAGGAAATGTGGCGAGGATTTTCTTATATGAATCGAACTGACCCCTGTTATTCCTTTTCATCGCCTGACAGGTTGACGAACGGCTTTCGGGAAAGCAGCCGACATGGACACAATGACTGGTCAGCACAGCGTGGCCGAAGAATTCATCACCCCGACCAACGCCTCGTTCACCGGCCTGACCGAGCGCGACGAGTCCGGTGAGTTCCTGCATGGAGAGCGCGACGCTTTCCGGGCCGTGCTGGTGACGTTCTTCGTGCTCTCTATGGCCTGGGGCAACATCGGTAACCCGTTGGTTATGGCGACTATACTGACACGCCGCAAGCTTCGTCAGAACGTGGCTAATATCTTCATCTTCAATCTGGCCATTGCTGACTTCTGCGTCACTTCGTTTGTGGACTTGTCTTACGTACTTGGTAAGTCTGTATATCTCATTGCATTTATTAGAATTAACTCCACAAAAACCCTTTCAACCCAGGCATGAACTTGGTTAAGGTTACGGTTAGGCACATCGTACTATTGAACCATCGAATTAAGCACTTCGTCTCAACAGACATAAATGAGATTTTAGCTTGTTTACCAAGTATGATTTAAGCAGAACATATCAAACATTTCAGCACATGTACCATGTCTGAGATTTCAGCACGTTTACAAGACAAAGCAATGAGCACATCTTACCTGACATAAACTGTAATTAGCGTTGAACATAATTATATTAAATAAGATTCGAGCAGTTTCGAGCAGAGTTGGAAACTTGGAATCGAGTCCTGACAAGTCAATCGCAAGTCATCCACGTTCAAGTCAAGGAGCAATCTATTCAACTATGAAACGACATCACTTTCATCAATTATTATACGAAGGACCAAACTTGTGATTGGACTTTGTACTTGTGATTGACTTGTGATGTTCCAAACCACATCTCCCGGTCTTATCAGTACTTGTTTTCTTCAGGTAACCTCATTCCAGGCCTGCTCATGGAAAACCGTGTGTTCTGCAGCTTTGCCGCCTCCATCTGTATCATCAGCTGTACTTGCTCCCTCTGGAGCATCACCGCCATCAGCATCAACCGCTACATCTGCGTGGCCAAGAGCTCCATCTACCAGAGGGTGTACACGCGGAGGAACACACTTCTCATGGCAGTTGCTCTCTGGCTACTCTGCTTCATGATCGACTTCCCGAACTTTGTCGGTCTTGGGGCGCACATCTTCGACGCCAAGAAGAGAGGCTGCTCCTTCGACCGACTGGGGCATTATGGGTACACCTTATACTTCATCGGGATGGGCGTGGTCACGCCCATGACTATTGTCGTCGTCTGCTACATCAAGACGTTTCTGTTCGTCAAGGCGCATAACACGAAGGTTTGAATAAAAGGCCATTTTCGTGTACTTACTATAGAATAAAATATTGCTTTGAAAGATCACTAAGCTGCCAAAAAAAACCTTCAAACCCAAGGGTCAATTTATTACGGAGATTCTATGCACATAAAGTCGCAAGGCACTTGAAAAGTTTGCTCGACAAACACTAGTTACCACGACAATTGACTGTAGTCTTGCTTGCAGGATGTACGTGATTTATAATATTAATGCCAGAAATGTGAGGTATAAGGGTAGAATATGCACACATGCATGGTTGCAATATGTTATTTACAATTTATAAAACAAAACATCAAATCAGCTGATTGACCTATCACGGTAGAATCGAATTAAAATCGCGTCGACGCAGCGTGTACACAAACTCCATGGGGTTGTATATAGGGGGCGTGGCTAACTCGCAAACGGCGATAGGTCAATTGCACAAGCCTTGAGCAAGCTGAACACATGTAGTGAATATTATGCCCATTGCATTCATAAATATTGATTATTTGTATACTGTCGGCTTGATAAAGGTCGCCACAATAAACTGCTTCTTATTTTTTTTTTTTAGATACTTCATTTGATATTCGTTGGTTCCTCATTTATATTTCATAGCTGGCAACTGTTGCCGGTATTCAGTCACTCGCATCACAATATAGCATTTTTATTATTCATACCGTGTTCATGCATAACATTTTATAGTCGCCGCATAGTGACATTATGTGAATGAACCGTACAAATATATGGATATTGAGAAAAACATGTTCGTTAAATAATTCGCCTGTTCATGTGAAGGCTCTACAAAGTCCAAAAAAGTACTTTAATAATTGAATAATCTTTTTTTTTTTAAACTGGCTTTGTAGCTTGTAATAAAACTTCTTTTTTTTTTTAAGATGACAATGAGGAAATGCTTAATTTTTAGAGGATGCAAGAAAACAAACACTAGACTGACAACATATTTGCGGTCAAATCCACGGAATACACCGATCTTCCTGTTGGTTTGGTAGGAATCGGACCTGGGCCACATGTATGGCAGGCAAGAGTAGTACACCACTGCGCAAACCGAACTTATTCACTTAAACATACATTCGCCGTGCTATTTTAAAGTTTCGTCTCGAAAAACAGATTAGTTTTTATTCAATCACTTTTTTTCCTAGCAATGTATAGGTTATTCACTTTTGAATGAGACATCAAACCAAAGAAAAATCCACCGACGTTTACTTATTACATTATTTCTTCACAAAAGTCGAATTATTAGCTGCCAGACAATAATTCGGCTCTCGCAGGGCGGGTTCACTTATGCACAAAATGAAAGCTATTTTTTAGTTAAAGGGGCATTAAGGCCTGAAATCCACGAAAATTTCATGTTTTGGATTGTTTACTTATCCTATTTCAAAGGTCTGGTTGAAAGGAAACAAACCTAATGTCTTACCGTTCCCGAGAAAAGACAAAAACTGGTTGTTTACATCGGACGCGACAGACATTAATACCCATACGTATTTCAAGTCGTGTCTATATAATGCAGCGTACACATTATTACCAATACACAAATGTTGTTTCCTGCAAGTCCGCAGAATGAGCATGTCGGTACAATGATCAAGCCAAATAATTGAGTTACGGAAGTTCAACAACCCGAGACTTCGTGCCGCAACTTCAACCATTCCAATTTACATTCACTCATTAATAACCGCTAATAAATAGCAAACACTGGGAGGTTTCCCTAATGGAAATGAACAGTGCACTCTGAAGTCAATTTTCATTTGGAAATAAATCGGTTCGGCTTATTGAATTATCTACCGAGATTATACAATCTTCGAGCAATAAACAAAAGAGGTTTACTTTTGCTTCGCGTGCGTAAGCAAAATATTAAAAGGCTAGATACAGCCACTCTTTAGAGTTATCTAATATTAACTATCTAATAACAAACAGGTATGATCTTTGAACGATAATTGATAGCCGACTCGTTGTTTTCTCTTTCGCAATAAAAGTGCATCATCATGACAAACAATCAATTTAATGAAGGATACTGCGAAGTGAAGAGTTACCATACGTAATGCATATTAGAAACTTGTTTACAATGCCGTAACTTTTAATACTTAAAAGAGGTTTAATACTTTAGAGATTAAGATTTCTTCCTGACAAGAATATGTTCAATTCGTCCGTCAACGATGTGTGCTCGGTGCTGTCCGAGTGTTTGTGAGAGAGAGAAAAAAGACAAGCATGCTCGGGTGGGAATCGAACCCACGACTCCTGCTCGCTCGTGCAGATGCCAAGCGACGTATAACTAGGGTTAAAATTATAGGGGGCACATGGGGTGTACCAATTTTTCAGAGGGGACCAAAGGCAACTGATCTATTATTGTTGTGCAATTCAGGATTTTACACGGGGGGGGGGGGGGGCACGTGCCAGCCCGTGCCATCCGTAGTTGCGCGACTGCAGATGCCAGACCACTCGACCACTCAATCTGATAACGGCTCATTGACATTTGATCAAAAGTAGCAATTAAGTCAGTCTCAAGTCACAAAGAAGTCTTGCACAAGTCTTGAAGTTTTAGGTCACGTGACAATATTTTCATAATCAATTGAGACAAACCACATTCCTGTTTTCCATTTTGCATCCACTGTTTTTGTAACCTGACTTGTGATTTGACTTAAACAGCTCAATTAAAATTCTGCTTGAACTGTAAGACAGGCAGATGTAAATGTTAATATTGGATTTGGTCCAAGTTTTCTTCTTGAGTTTTGCTTTGTTCGTTTTTCCGCGGTTCAGATTCAAGCATGGAAGTCGGAGTCAGCATCAATGGGGCGCATCATGGCCCCCGCCCCGTCCAACAAACCCATCGACACCCGCCTCCTCAAGACGGTAGTCGTCATCTTCATCGTCTTCCTAGCCTGCTGGACTCCCTATACCATCATTGTGCTGTCCGATTTACACAACTCGTACCCAGATGAGTTGTACGTGGCTGCCATCATCTTTGCCCATGCCAATTCCAGTATGAATAGGTAAGAGCGACTTGGGACCGAGTTGACTTGGATCGAGGTGAATTTGGATCGAGTTGTCTTGGGACCGAGTTGACTTGGGATCGAGTTGTCTTGGGACCGAGTTGACTTGGGATCGGCGGGATGAATTGGGATCGAGATGACTTGGAAGTGGAACCAAGGTGACTTGGAGTTGACTTACGACCGAGTTGACTTGGGATATCGGCGGGATGAATTGGGATCGAGATGACTTGGAAGTGGAACCAAGGTGACTTGGGACCGAGTTGTCTTGAGAACGAGTTGTCTTGAGACCGAGTTCACTCGAGATCGAGTTGATTCTTCGACCAAAATGGTTCAACATCTTCCCAATTGCAAACATGCCATCTCATAGTAAACATTGACGGGTATAGGCCTACTTCTCAGTTCAAAGCATGCGAAACAGCGAACTGGTTCCCGCCCTTCTTTTAAGTGTATAAGGACCGGGAACCAGACGTAAACACCTGCCTTTCTGATGTGAACTCTCCTTTGCACTATTAACAGAGCACGTGAACCAGTGAACTGGTACTGTGTAAGCTTCTGTCTCTCGCCTGTGTTGCTATGAGAGCCCATTCATGCTTTCCATCCAAAGTGTCACTTTTTCAACACATTCCAGATTTGATACTTCAGTTTCAGCTTTTTTTCTTTTCCTTGTTTCTTTTGTTTGTTTGTAGTATCGTCTACGGCATCATGAATCGTTCGTTCCGCGAGGGTTACAAGCGACTGATCAGGTCGTTGACCCGTGGTCATCTGTGCAACGGTAACCCGCTCCAAGGATCCGACGACACGGACAACAGGACATCCAACATGTAAATCAACTACAACTACAGTGCAGCGCTCACGTGCATGACGCGCATGACGCGCATAACGCGCATGTCTTAATTAATTTGAGACGCATGTGAAATTTGTAAATCTTATTGGACGAAGAAGCACTGAATGCGCGCGCGTAACACATGCGCAGTATGGCTTGCTACTTGTCAGATTATGAGAGTCTGATGACACCCTGGATATAATTTTCATTTCGCTCCAGATACTGGTACTGGTTAAGCTGGGTTTTTTTTTTCAGACGCAGCTGACAGATAGAGACATGTACCTATGTTGATGTGTCGCACTATGACTTCGCGGTGTCACTGTTAAATGTTAATGTTAATTAATTCATGGTGCACAACACAAAGTTACTAAAAAACATACTTAATTTTATTCACATGTTTTATTCATGAATATCGGCAACAATCAATACAATCGAGCAAGATCCGTGCCTGTCATTAAAAATCAACAGCGAGCATTAATGCTCGGCCTATTTTACCAATGTTACAGAGAGGGTAGCGGGTAAAACACGCACGTTGAGGGCGCTGTTTATATACCCAGGCAAGGCCGCTTAGCTTCTATTTTTTTCACAGTAACCGAACGTTTAAACATATGACTTGACAGTTTGTGCGCTGAACGAAAAACCATAAAATATTAAAGCACAACATTAATTACTGATGAGAACCGTCTCAATCATTCATTATTTATTACCCAAGGTGCCTTCATTATAAGGATGTGTGGTCCTTATAATGAATTTTGAAACAGAGATTATAGACAATTACTGTCTTGCACACGTCGAACTCAAAAAGGAGTGGTTATCGTTTGCGACCTTTGAATGGTTGACAGAACAGATCGACAGACCGACAGTGTGACCGACAGACAAACGTGCAGTCAAACAATCATGAATTTTATTCTATGGAAATTTTCTAGCGTCGTGTGTATGGCAGATGGCGGATTATGTCCTTACGCTTTTGCGTGAGAACGCCTAATCGCCTAAATCTTTCCAGCAAAACTAAGGGTAGGTGCAGAAAACTGCCTCTATTTTCATGAAATGTTAACATGTTAATCGGAAATTGGAAATTGACAAAAATTTGATTCTTCAGTGGCGTATCAGTAGGGGGGGGGGGGGTAAACGTTTCTTGAAAAAGGGCACTTGCACATCCGTCCTGAAATGTAGACACTTGTGCACAATATATGGTGCTTTTAATGTGCGGCTTTCAAAAAAAGGCACCCGTAACGGCCGATGGCACAAAAAAGGGCATGATTAATTTCTAGTTCTTTACAGGGCACTTTTTCGGGGGGGAAAAAACGACACTTTTCCAGAAAAAAAAGGGCACTTGTTAAGCAAAATGGCACTTAGTAAGAAAAAAAGGCACTCTTTAAAATAAATGGGAGGGGGGGGGGGTAAGCGCTGGTAAAAAAAGAATATTTGAACGGAAAAGGACAGTCTTTTCCAAATATTGGGGGGGGGGGAGGGGTTAAATACCCCCTGAACCCACCCCCCCCCCTCGCTTGCTACGCCTATGGCTCTTACATGTGACAATTTTACAATTTGTACGATTTATAATACGCGTGGGAGAATAATGGGGCCTTTCAAAGTAATTTTCTTGAAGTGATTTTTAGCGTCTGGACGCTTCTGACGGACACCCGATATACGCCTCCCGATACACCTCCCTAGCCTCTTAGCAAGACCGAGTCATTCTTTAACATTCCGTTTTGAGTTCTGAAGTTATTAGAATCTGAAGAAAATGAAATCATGGAAGGCAAGCAAGATCCAAATCAGCTTTTGCTCAAACTCAATCAATGGTTTATTGTGACTAGTAACATGCCAACACAACACCTCGTTGTGGAAAATCAAACTGATTTAAAAACATGAGCACGTACGTTTCAGCGCGTTTATTTCCCGCGAGTCCATGCTCCAATCGGTTCCCGCAATGTGCCAATCACATTTTGTGGGGACGCTAGATTTCCTTTTTTATTAATGCGGTGACGAGGGAGCAGGCCATTTCAGGAATGCAAATTAAAATTTCCCAGGAATGTGAGGGACCGTGGGAAACTGGGAACTGATGACGTAGCCGGATTTAATTTGAATACACCTGCAGGGAATGTCATGGGTAACTCTTTCCGTACCATCATATTTGGTGTTCGCTGGAAAGGACAGCTTGCGACATAACATGGTTAATTCACCGTAGTTCGGGCTTGTGTTCAACACATGTAGCTATGGTTGACAGTGTTTGTGATCAAAGCATTTGATTTAATGAACCACAAAGAGAAAGCTCCGACTGCTAGTGCCCCTTGAACAAGACATTGACAAATTGGGGAACCGCCAACATAGGGCTGGATAGCTCAGTTGGTAGAGCACCGGGACGGCAATCCGGAGGTTTAACAGTTCAAAGCCCGCTTCGACTTTTGAGTCAATTTCTTTGTTCAACTATGAAAATCAAATCGTTTCGAATTTGTTCATATGTTCAGACACTCGCACGTGTCACAACTTGTTTTTGCACCAGCACTGATTCACCAGACGTTTATGCACACTGACAAAATGTGGTGGAAAAATCTGCACTGGATATTTGAAAAAAATGTATACAATTATCTTAATATCTCACTGATTATACCGTCCACGTAGATTTTATTCCATTTATGTCATCTTATTTGTAAGGTGGATTCCATGTTTAGTTTTAAACTGCACATCACGAAACTTAGTCCACACTTGATTTCAAACATACAGGGAAAATGAGTTTTGATAATGTTTTTCACAATCAAGCCCTTCTGCTGTTTATTAAGAGCCGGACGAGGCGTTTCACAGTATTGCGCTAGTGACACTGACACGGTCAAATAATACGCGTCACTCGGTGACGAATTGCCGCTGGGACAGACCTAGGGGTAAAGCCGTGTTTGCGCCAGACTCACAGGCTTAGTGTTTCTAATGGGTTGCCGTCTCACATTACTACTTCAAACTCTCGATCCTTGTCTGAACAAAAAATCTGACAAGGTTATTGACAATTTGGCCGTGTCCACTATGATTCGAGATTTAGATCCTTTTCATACAAAAACATCCATTTATTCGTTAATCAAACTTCCTTTTTATGACCTTTTCCGATTCGTGGCTGTTTGTGATCGGCTACCTGACACCCAGAACTTGTTATCTTCCATCTTTTTGCAAACAATTTTTGAGTAATGTGGGCAGGTTTCAAAAACACTTGGTCTCAAAACATATAGTCGTGCCACATTTCTGTCGTTGAAGCACTCATGCGCATGCTCAGAGGAATGACAACGTACACAGCGTGGGCGTATGAATTCGAAAACCCGTTCTCGTGTTGAATAAACACGAGAACGGGGTTTCGAATGACAAGAACCAACACGCGAATGGTGTTCGCGAACAAGATTCTCACTCCTCACTTATCGGGGAGTAGATGAAGAAAGTCAAGAACAAAGATGGCGGATTTGGGCCCCTAACGGAACTTGGGTTAATTTTATTTGTGCATAAAATAAAAAGCTCGGTGCAGGGAGCAGTAATAACAAAATATATAATTGTAGAGTTGGCTTGTCTTTGCCAATATTTATAGCAGTTGCGGGATTTACATTATTTCGTTAGATATCATGAATTATCTCTTCTTTTCAATCGGTTTTAATACGGCGGCTGCCATCTTGAATGTTCGCCCAGCTGCGCACCCGTACCACACGCACTAAGGGCGTTCGTAATAGGCAACCCGAGCACACTGATCGCGGGTCACTCGAGAACGGGTTTCAAATACGCCATAATTATGTGCGTAAAAAGGTAACAGTTGAATAAGCACTTCTACTTCTACGTTGATGCTTGGCAAAGTCCCCACATCGGGATATCACGCCAAGGTTGTGCGTTAGACCGATGAATATCTAAGGTAGACTGAGGGTGGTTTTGAATTGGGAAAAGGAAGTAGAGGTGACTGATGCAGGGAGGTTGTTCCAAGTAGGTATTGTTCTTGGAAACAAGGAGTATTTGTAGACATGGGGTCCGCTCGTAAGTCCGACGCCTCATAAGTCCGACAAAATCGCATCCCCTAACCAAATAAAGGCCCATAAGTCCGACAAATTAAACGCCTCGTTTTTCCGACGTCGGACTTTTGAGGCGTCGGACTTATGAGGCGTCGGACCTATGAGGCGGAATAAATAAATTTGTGCCCCATAAGTCGGACGCCTCATAACTCCGAAATTTCGGACTTATGAGGCGTCGGACTTATACGGCACCGTAGACGTTGGGGCCTGGTAGATGGCAATACTTAAACTGATGATAACTGCAGGTAGTCGGCAAAAATGTGGTCTAAAAAAACGGAACCCCAACATAGTATATCACTTGATACAATATCTTTACTTACAACCCTGCTTTGGCTAACAATAGGATTGACAAAATCCACTTTTCAAAATGATAGTTTTCAACTTTTAAACTGAGGTTTTATCGCTGGCGATGTTTGAATACAATTGTAACGACAATTCTTGAAATCGCACTTTTGTACGAAACAGATTTCAGGGTCATTTCGTTTAAACGGTGATATAATTTGAACGGATTGAGCGGTTGAAGTAATTTGTTTTTCTTCATCTAAAAGTAATTTTTAAATTGGCTTACCAGTCACAATTATTTTTGGCGCTATACACATTTTTAAAAATAATTATGAAGTATATTTCTTTGGGTTTGGGCTCTGCTTTAGACGAGCTGGTACGTGACGGTGACGTGCAACATTACAGGGCTACAAAATACAATATAGTACCTTCAAAAAATTGGTTCTATCATTTATTTCAGAGTTCTGTACATTTTTCTTTAAGTTTACAACAGATTATCTACTTTCCCTTTAATTACCAAATAAAACAACAATTGTAATAAATAATATATATATTTTGTTGACAGATGTCTATATTGAATTCACATTTGTAAATTGTCAGTTAATTTGTACAAAGTAAAGCACGATATTTGTAGAAAAATGGTGTAAATCTATGATGTTATTAAATGAGGGGAACTGAGATGGCATTTGGAATGTTTCATTGGCCCAACGATCAGGGGTAACAATAATATTAATGTAAAGCCCTTTGATCTTTGTGCAATATAAGTACCCGTAATTATTCTTCTTCTTATGAAGCCAAACCTCGTCAGTTGAAACCAGAGTAGACCAACACCGACCCAGCCAGCCGACCTCCCTTGCTACTTCTCGGGGCAGCTACAACCAAACTCGTCATCTGATTGGTCAATGAGAACACAAGGAGAGAGCCGTTTGTTTATGGTGGCAGACTGCCAGCATGGGCCAGGATTTCTTTTCCCTTACGTTATCGAAAGAAGGCGCCCTCTCCGCAAATATACTCATAGTCGGCTCTATGAAAAGAGTTATATCAATCACCAAAGGCGGCAGATTCATCGATTGGTTGGAAGTAGTCCTGATTTCTGATCAGTTGACCGAGTTAGAATACCAGTGAGGACTTGTTCGCATAGGCCTATAAATACAATTTCATCTTCCAAGTTTAAAAAATGTTGCAACCTGACGCCAATTTTTTCTTCATATATCATCTCAATGTAGGTCATTCATTACAAAAATGATAAGACATGAATCTGGGACTGAGAAACATTTCCAATTTTGTTAGGAAATACTTAGAAAATTGTCTTGACTCTCCATAGATTTTGTACACAATCGCGGAAGTGGCGTCAGGTCGCAACATTTTTTTCTTCCAAGTAACAGTGTGAAGAAAGAAATTTACATTTTCGACATGTAAAGCTGATGCTGGGTTTGTGTTGTCGACAACAAGGCATTTGATATGCATGGAATGGACCAATCAAAAGATTGCAAACGGATCGCGGAGTGCACAGCTCAGTTGGTGAAGGTATCATCTCCCCTAAATTGCTCAAACCTTACGCATAAGGTGCATAAGGGCAATTCCACGGTTACTCACGTTACATTTTCGTAAAGTGAGTAACCGATTTAGTGCGTCTTGTTTATCATACATAACACATTTTTCTGGATGTCATCATTCTTTGGTGCTTAGGTAGGTCTAGGTCTACTCTATCTACCATGTGAATGACAGTTATTAAACCTTTTCAGTAAGGTAATTACAGCCCAAGGAAACTCAAAAGTACATCAAAAATGTAACGTGAGTAACCGTGGAATTGCCCATAACAAGAAACCTGTTGAAATATAAGCACAGTGGGTACCCAGTACATTTCGAGAAACAGAGAAGCCATTGATTATGCACCATGTCTGGGGTAGAATCCGCTGTCAACGCACATGAGAAAGTTTCACCGCGGGCACACATTTGTTAAGATCACTTTCAATGTTTTTCGTTCAAACGACACCATTCCAGGCTGAATAATTTCACAGGTTATTTGGTACCATCTCTGTCTTCACTTTGAGAGAGTTTTTCTCATTAAAAATCGGTGGGTTCGTCACTATGGATGTTCCTACCTGCCTTATAAGGTTACAGGCCAGTAGATCGGTCTAAAATTGCCTACACCGGCCAAATCACGACTTGTATTTGAGCCTATTGTGAGCCATGAACTTGAGGGTTTGTAAAATATATGGGTGAAAGCCGTGCACAGGACTGTGAGCTTGTAGGCCCTATAGTTCAGTGCAATTTGGATGAAATTGGCCCCTAAAAGCGCTCTATTACTATGGAGTTTGGGCATCGTTTTTCAAAATGGCGTTTGGCTTCAGGACTATTTTACGGGGCGAAAAAAAGCGATCATCTCCGGATGCAAACTTCTCCTAAAAGTCATCAGTTAACCCCCCACAAAATGAAAAGAAAGTGAAAGATGATGGAATAAGCTTTAATTTGATGTGCGTCTCGAACACCTTTGAGAGTTGTGAGTATTTTTCCTGAATTTCTGAAGTGGGGGCATTGGGTCTGTGTCAGTTTATTTACTGGTCTGCAACCTTAAAGGCTTCAAAATCTTGGGAGTTATACAAGAACAGTGGCTTCTTGTAAACAGAATTATGAAACCTTGTGCTTAACACGCCTGCGCCACCACTTGTGTCGCTTGTAACACCCCATGTATGCGAAGGACCAGCTGCGCCGAGTATGTATACACTAGTACCGGGCAAATAAGAAGCCATAATTAAGGACACTGCAGGAAATTAATCACCTGCCCAGTCACGATGACCAGAATATCCTTGTTAACAGGTGGCTATACGAGGAATTCATTCGTGAGCTCATTAGGGGAGGATCCGGAGGGAAACTACTCGACACTTACCTTGCCATTTTTCCATGAAACCATTCGATGACCAAAACGACCACCAGACTGGCAAGAGACAAACAAGGAAACGCAAATAAAATAATGAGGTTCAAATAAATCAGGACACGAGACGAGTCATGCAGTGCAGCAGATTGGTGATAGGATTGGTCAGTTAGGCATGAAATTTGGCACGCAGAGTACGTCATGGGAAAGATTTCTGGCTATAGGGCCATCGCACATATGTCCTTTGAAAATAAAATATATCATAGAACAAATTTTCAAAATTTTCAAAATGGCAGCCATTGCATGTTAATACTGTACGATACTTTTTATTCAAAAGACAAATCTGCGATGGCCCTGTAACCAAGTATCTTTTCCATTAGGCCTACATACTCAGACCGTGTGCCACATGTCATGCTTTTATCATCAAATAAACAATTCCAATCTGCCTGACTATATGTTCTATCTGGTTTCCCAGGAAACCATTCAATGACCAAGGATGGGCAAATCCCTCGTTACAGACCACATTCAGGGCCTAAGACCATGAAGTTAAAGCATATGTAATAGATTGATAAAATCTAGCACAGGCTTTAATGTACAACACGACATGCTTAGTGTAGTGTTACCAAATTAATTAATGATATTATATGCAGTGAAAACAACCATTACACAGACGATTCAAAAGATGGATTTTTTTTGCGTCGGGGTGATGTAAATCAATTTTAAGTTTTGCCCTTCACCGACGTATAAACACTGTATACTCAGTGTGTTACCTCCCGAGTGAAAGTAAAAACATTCACTCGGTTGAACTCGAACCCACGACCTACTGCTTTCTAGTCACGCGCTCTGTATCATGTTACGCGATATGCGCCCGGCTGTTGTATTACAAAACACTGCATTCGAATCAACTAATCAAACCATTAAGTCTATATGATCTGGGAATGAAATGACGTAAAGGCGACTCCGATTGGCTGGCGCGCGGCTTGCATATATCTGCATGTCTAGATATATCAGACGTTATACAGGACTTGGCTCTGTGGATAACGGGTGACATACAGGGGTGTGAGTGACCACTGATAAAAATAGCTGAAAACAGCTGAAAAAGGCTTAAAAAAGCTGAACTTTGGAAATCTCCTATACTTTTGTACGCAGCAAGTAAGGGAAAACAGCTGAAATCCAAAACAAACAAAGCTGAAATCAGTATTAAAGCTGAGATTTTTACACCCCTGTACATAAAATACTAACTTTCAAATGAACGTTACGATGCAGCTTTCTAATAGCACGTCAAGGGAACAAAATGTGTGTTAACCCTAAGAAGATTACATTTGTGACCAGCTTTAACCATTTCGTGCAAGAAGATCTACAAACAACCCGTCTCTGAAGAGACGCTGTTTAATAGGAAATTAAATTGAAGCAGTATGGCTTGTAACGGTAGGGTTGTGATAATTTTAGATCCAATTACATTTCATTTCTCTAAGAGCTCGGAAATTTTAGCAATGCCCTTGAACATTGTTAGCATTTTTGTCAGAAAGCGCGCTCGAGAAAAGCAAGAAACACAAGTGTGTATTAAATAAAAAATCTTTAACTTGGATTGAACTAGAAAACATCTGATTCAAAGGATTCAAGATCTGTCGAGGAAATCAATTGTTCATCTTCACGAAATCCAAGAGGATTCGGCTGAAAAGCGTCTTAAAGAAAAGAGGCCCATAACCTTCAAGTTGTCGGTGTTTTGTTAATCTCAGGCGAAACCTAAGACCGCGCTGTCAATATGTAGTATTGTTACATTTCTACAGATTGACGACAAAAATGCAGTTATATTAGATTTTTCATTTATACTGCAAACTAATTCTGTGGTTTGAGAGATTTTCATGCCAATACAATGGTGCCAGGATTATATCAATTTTACAAAAGGCTTCTTTTGAAGAATGTAATCTTTACATCTTTTGACTGAAGACCTTTACCTACAGAGTTTGATTTCAAAACTCCAGCCTTGGTCGGTTCGCTAAAAGGCTGTAATTTCAGCTGATGCTTTTGTGAGGAATTGCCTCCTTCAAGTTTGGGACAATGTCCGTCAAAAAGATGATTGAATAGAATCAATGTGAGTGGAGAATGTAAGAAGGTTAATAAGATTGGAACAGACATTCAGCCCAGGGACTTTCAAGTGTTTTTATCCTGATTAATTTTGGGGGTTTACGAACAATTCTTTAAAAGTGGGGAGTGTGGCCTAGTGGGTAGGGTTTATGACTCGTGGTCCGAGGGTCGTGGGTTCGAATCCAGCTGCTGGCCATACGTTGTGTCCTTGGGCAAGCCACTTCATCCCCACTTGCCTCTCTACACCCAGGAGTATAAATGGGAACCGACATAAGCTGGGGAGTAACCTGCGATGGACTAGCATCCCATCCAGGGGGAATAGAATATTCTCAGTCGTTTCATGCTATTGAAACCGGAGATAAACGTCGGCCTGATGGGCCACATTGGCTCATGACAGACTTTAATACTTTACTACAAAAGATTCTTACCTCCGAAATTGATAATACTGCAATGGCCTGCAAACAAAAAGTGAACCAAATTTTTTTTTAGTCAACTTCTTGTATGAGAATATAATTACTGAAATTTCTGATCAAACTGACCTAGGCTTCTCAATTCAATAGAAAACATGCACTGACCATGAGTCCGTCACAACAAAAGGAACAAAACAAGGGAACAATCATATCCTTGGTAATAGTAAAATTACTAAAAGGTAACAATTTCATTGACTGTGCATAGGATAAAGGGCTCATTTGTACAGGGTGATTAAAAAAACCCGAAACCCAAATGTCGGGACTATTGTTTTATTGAAGTTCTTTATGTAGTACTTTCAAAATCTAGGGCATAAAAGCCCAATTCATAAGCTTTCTTTTAGTACAAGAATCATTCAAATCACTTATGTACTTTACAAGTTACGGAATTTTAAACACAACCACCGTTTTAAGATTCTGTCCACGGATCACAGAAAAAGGCGTGCGTTCTTTCAGCAAAACGAAAACACTTCACAAAGCTTATGAATTGGGCTTTCATATCCTTCATTTTAAAAATGCTACATGCAGAACTTCCCTAAAACAATGGTCCCAACATTTGGTGGTTTTTTTTACTCACCCTGTAGTATGAATTATCAATGAAGATAATTTATAAAAAATGCTTTGTTCTACTAAAAACTAAAAACTCTACCGATGTACTTAGCAATGTAAATGGCGCCACCAACGTCAAACAAGTCCGTCCCCCTAAATTCAAAAAATCCCATTTTTTTCCGCAGCCAAAAATTGTGGGCAACATTTTTTTGAAAAAAAAAAATCAACTAAAAAAAGAAAAAAGAAAAAAAAAAGAGCCCTCCCCCAAGCCAAATCCTGGGTGCGCCACTGAAATTTCAGTCAAATCTGTTATTGCATGACCAAGATCTGAAGAGGGGGGGGGGGGTTTGGATCCGCCCCCTTTCACTTTCCCAAGATGGCTACCATAATGAAGTTGGAAAAAATGCAAACTTTGTTTTTTGGATTCAGTAGATCATTATGTTTTCAAAAATGTATAATTTTGCTTATCTCCCCCCCCACAAAAAAAAAATTCCAAAGAAAATAAAATATGAACAGGACTGAAGAATAAGCCCGAGGACCTTAGCCATAGTCCTCAAAATGTTTTGTTGCACAAATCTTATGGTACATGTCAAGAAAAGTTTAAGTCTAAGGAGAGATGGGAACGGTACTGAATATGTTATGAATGTGTTAACGCTCTGTGTGTGACAAAGCCAGAATCGTGTGGTGATATGTACAGCATGTCAATACAAATGTAGCAGTCATTCCATAAATATTACAAATACTAGCATTCTCTTTTTGCAAAACTTATCTGAAGAGTCTGAAGGCATAGTAAATACCATACACACGCAAGTGTGTATTTGCCTGCAATCAGGGACCCCCTATTGTCCCTCTTTTGTTTGTACTTTTAACTTTTTAGGAAGACCTCCCATATGCTTTGTACATGATTGTAAATTGGGGACCTTCGGGAATTGGGGACCCTATTGTCCTCTATTGTTCAACGTCCCCTATTAAATGCAGAAACAAACTCAATGGTCTTTATCCCATCTCATTTGGTCACCCCAGTCCAGAGATACAGCTAATTAAATGAAAGGACTTGAATTCCAAGCTGGGCCACTTTTCAGATTATCTGGTATCTAATGAAAGGCATTCATATACCAAGAAGGTGTGTGAATGCCTTTCATTAGATAGCAGATAATCTGAAAAGCGGCCCAAACAGATTTTGAGAGTCTTCACCATTTTGCGGTTACTTTTAAACAAAAGGTCCAAATCACACAGAACAAAAATCCTGTCAAGGGTTAAGAAACACTTTATCATCTCATGGTAAATGAGTTTTCTCAGTCTTTTTTTGTTTCACTGTTACGTTTGTCGAGACATGCTTTATATGTGGTATCAAACAGGGTTACGATTGAAAAAGTTTTCAAACTTGCTCCTCAATAAAAGAAAATCATACATTGATGACTCTCCCCATATTTAGAAATTCCCGGTCTGAAAGCAATCCTTGACAATGAACTCTGAGTGACTTGACAGCAGATCTCACATTGCAAGGAGAAGAAATGAAGGTTCATTTCAAAATTGGATCTTTTATTCCTTCTTTGTTGTGCCATTTTTTCCCTGAGCCTTCACATTTTATTAAAATCCAATAAAATGGAAATGCATGACTGCCATTTACAACCCTTCCGCCAGCTTTGCAAGGATTCCCTAATTTAATTAAATTAAACAGTCACTTCACAAATCTTTCATACTTGTACTTGAAATCCAATTACAATTTTCCCTTTGAAAAACACCGACAATTGTGATCTAAGCATGCGAGATGGTCAGCTGGGCTGTAATTACACTACAGAACCTTGGAAAATGAAGAGTACAAGTATGATTTCAATTGCAATGGGACAAAAACTAGACTAAAAAAAGTCTAAAAGAAAAGAAAGGGATTCTAAACTTACTCCATCACAAATGAAAAAGACCTTTAATTTCTTAATTGGGGTAAGCGCTGTCGATATATCGATATAACTCGATTATTCAATATTATTTTGATATCGATACCACCGATAGCATTTCTAATCACATCGAAATATCAAAATTTAAAAAAAATTGAGGAATCATATCGAAAATGCGTCAGATTATTGGCAAAATAAATCCCCGTTTGTGCTTTTACTTTGTGTTTATCATTTGCTGAACAATGAAATATAACTTAGCAGCAACTTGTGCTTGTGACTCATCAAAATAAAAACACCTCAAAATGCCGAGCGGCGTCACATTGTGCTCTGGGTTTGCTTCTATTTGCGGCCTTCCCTATGCAAAAGTATAAAATAAAAAGCACCCATTCTGGACAAACTCTCTGTGCTGAGATTTGTTTTAAAAAGTCTGAGCAATATGCTGCAGAGAAAGCCGTGGAAATTTGGAAATTTAGATATCTGTTTTTGTGGTCTTTAACTTGAACATGGCATAATCAATATATCAAATATTCTCGATATTGGATTTCCAATATATCGCTTATTGAAAATGCTGATATCAATGGTGCTTAAATTTGTGCTTTGTGAAAGATAGGCTTTGAAAAAGATTTTGACAAAAGGACGTAAAACCTGAGAAGTGGATCTCAGATGAAGAAAAAAGACAAAGAAAATAGCCAACCTTATTGCCAGGGCATGGTTCGACCTCCTTGTGCAGGAGATTGCACTGTCTGGTGACATTCCCTCTGGGAAATGATTTGCTGCCTTTAAATACATACACTGCTCCTTGTTCACCTGGGGGAGGTAATACAAGAAATGTAATTGCATTTACAAGTTAAATATATTTTTCATATGTGTTAGAAAATGTTTTGTATAAATTTTAACAAATAAAACTTTCAGTTTAAATTTTGTAGAAGAATACTACATTTTTTTGAGAGAGAGAGGTGAGTGCTGCGGCCTCGTGGTTAAGGGCACTGGATTCGTGGTCTGCGGGTAAAGCTGCGGGTTGTTGGTTCGAGTCCAGCCTGGGGTTATGGTGCGTATGCCCTTGGGCAAGGCACTTTGTCACTCATTGCTTCTCTCCACCCAGGAGCAAATGGGAACCAGTGAGGGCAGAGATGGTTAAAGGGAACTGAGATGGTATTTGGAACGTTTAATTGGCCCAATGATCAGGGGTAATAATGATGTAAAGTGCTTTGATCTTTGTTAAAAGCGCCATATAAGAACCTGTTATTATTATTATTATTACACCCTATATACTTGTTGTAAAAAGCACTACTTACTAACATTTGAAAATAAAACAAGATATTTGTGATATTAAACAAAAGCGATTTTTCATTGTTTTTGAGAGAGAGAAAATAGATTATTAGTCCATTTACTTATGTAGCATAGAAATCTAATTCAAGAAGTCAGGATACTATACCTCCATAGAGTTCTTCAGTGATGTCATCAATCCGCAATGGAGCGCCAATTACTACATCGTCTGTTGAAACAACGAAGATACTGTCATATCATTACAATGCAGCAGCCGTTTATCTATTGGAGGCGTTTGGACACTATTAGACAATACATGGCGCTCTTCGAACAGTGCGGATAGACACAAAATTTTACCGACAGACAGCCGATCTTAGCGACAGGGCGACTAGTTTGCTAACAAAACACCTCTCCTCTAGCAATACATGTGGAGGTTTGTTTGCTGTAATGAGGCGCTAAATGTCGACTGAGAGAAATTAATGGCCACCTATTTCTACCGTACGCCCCGAGTGTTTCTCGTAGTTATACCATATTTGGGACAATCTAGCTGTAGTTCAAACAAAGTGTTTCCTTGACTTGACCAAAACAACAGATTGTATTATATTTCTGACAAGTCAATCACAAGTCCTTCACTGCCAAATCAAATGACAGTCTAATCACTAATAAAGGCATTCCTTTGACATTGTTTGTACCATCACTTGGAACCCTGTGATTTGACTAATGATGGGTTTCATTTGTGACGGACTTGATGACAACTGTAAAAATACTGCAAGTGAGATTTGCGCGATCCCCCTGGCATGCTGGCAGTATTTATACCGTCAGTTAGTAAGCACACTTTTAAGCTGACCAAACCAAAATCAACAATGACCTCACTTGATCCCTAGATAACATTTGACCTCATCTCAAGTCGTCTGAAGTCCCCTACCCAAAGATTATTGTCACCAAGTTTGGTTGAAATTGAAGACTGACTTTTCATATGACACACTAAACAGTTATCCTAACCAAAATGGAACACACACACGGAAGAAATACAACCGAAAGATCCCTCTTTCTTGGCTTAAAAGTCAGGGGGATCAGGATAAAAATGATTTGGACCGACTCAGACTCATTCAAAGCCAAGTTCGGACTCCAACATTTTCTACACAGCTTTTCTTACCAACTCCATCATTTGTGACGTCTTCCATCAGCAGACTGGCCCCAAACCGAGCCAAGCTCCGGTCTCCTTCAAGAAGAGCTAACATTTCAGATTCAGTCCTCGGTGCAAACTTGAAACTTCCAAGTTTCTTTTTAATGCCGTCTCCAGCGGATTTCAGACTGAGGAAGTTGACATTGCCAGCTTGGGTGAACGTTATGGGAACATCGATAATCTTGCCCTTGACATCTTAAGAAGATATAAGAAAAAGGAACAAAAAGAACACATGATGTTTTTCAAGTCTCTCCAAATCAAGTTGATTGTGAAGTGTAAATCTATGTTGAATTCCTTTGATAATTGTTTTTATTGAAAATGAGGCTCTTCCTCTACGCAAGGGAAGAAGCTTCGTGCAATGGCAAAATGATTACATTCAGTGACAGATGGAATATTCCACTCCACTCAACTTTGCCTTGTGGAATGGAACATCCATCTGTCATCTCGTGAAATTATTCTTACCATTGCACTCATAAACATTCCTCATTTGTATACTATCTAATCAGTGCAACTAAATACCCTACACAAACAGAAAAAGGACTCACTCGTAGTATCGGCTCCAACACCTAGAATGTCTTCGCCGTTGTCGTAAGGATCTCCAATTCCAAACGATGATCCCAGTTTTCCAAAGTTTTCCCTGCCTGTGATGTTCACCAGTGGTTGGGTCAAATCCAGAGTGTCGTACACCAAAAGCCGGCCCACACTTTGGATGTCGTTGGAAGAAAACGCACAAGTAGACCTAAAAACCAAAGAATCAAAAAAAGTTTACTGGCAATTTAGGTGGTGTTTGAAATAATCTTTACAATGGGTAAATCCTTGCGACATTTTGTAATTTGATAGGAGTGTGGCCTAGTGGTTTGGAATCGCAACTCGCGATCAGAGGGTCAGGGGTTCAAACCCAGCTGCTGGCCATACCTCCTTTCAGAGTATTAAGCTGGTTCCCACCCTACAATCAGTATCGATAATGTACGGACTGGGAGCCAGCCTACTCACAAGGCGAATAAGCTTGTACTCAAATTGTTTTTTTCAGAGGGTTGCAGACCGGAGGGCCGGAGGGTGAGGGGTTCGAATCCAGCTGCTGGCCCGATATCCTTGTTGGCTATGCTGGTCCCTGCCCCACAATTAGTATCGATATGTACAGACCAGGAACCAGCCTGCTTACAAAGCCTTTACTCAAAATCAAAACTTTTTTTCAGAGGGTGCAGATGCCCAAAAATGTCAAAAAGTTTTGGGTTTTTTTGGGTTGAAAATTTATTAAGAGAAAAAATTTAATGTGTTGAAGAGCACGGGAAAACAACTTCAAAGCAACTGTCTTTATGCAAATACAGAAGAGAATAAACAAGAACTTACTCAGCACAGATGCGAACCGCTGGCTGGGAGACTAGCAGCCATGACCCTTGACCTTGCATTTTTGCCTTCGTCACTAGGTCATATCCAAGCCAACCATATTGCTATGGAAACAGAAGAAAACAAAATGTCTTCAAATAATCAAAAAGCTCTGATCTATTTCAAACAATACGACATGTACAATTGTTTGAAACAGATCAGAGCTTTTAGGAGAAAGAAACGAAGTTAAAGATACACACAAAACCTTCTAAATCTAGAGACTTGTCAGATTCAAATCAAATTTCAAGATAATTCTGTTTAAATTTTACCTGATCTCCTTCGAGTAAAATTGTTCCTTCAGTCTCAATAGACAGAACTCTTCTCACTGTTTGAGAGAAAAATGGAAAAATAAGTTTCAGTGGGATTAAGCTGAAGTGAAAAATAATAACCTTGGTGGGGAAAGTTGAATATATCTGCACTTGCAAGCAGGCGGTTATGGGTTTGAGTCCAACCGAAGTAGCCCAAACACTGATGTGTCAGTTCCCTTTTTATCTTTTTATATGATCCATAATATGGCAACATTCACCAAAAAGGAGCATTATTGTGATGAAAGAAAGTTTTAATGCTTGTGCACTTAACTGTGCTTTCGTACCAGGTTTTGCCTTCTTGGAGTAAACGACCCACAATGCACCACTCTGTTGTTGACCTTGTCTAGTGGCAACGAATGGTGACCCGATGATGAGGTCACGGTAGCCATCATGGTTCAGGTCGGCCGTTGCTAAGGACCATCCAAGATTGCAGTATTTCAACTGAAATGAAATGACAGCTCATTACAAACTCTTCACAATGTCAACAATTTTAAAGTTGAATAAAGACTTCAGCGGGGTTTGAACCTGCGACCTCCGGATTGCCGTTCCAGTGTTCTACCAACTGAGCTATCCAGCCCTATGTTGGTGGTTCCTCATTTTGTCAATGTCTTTATTCAAGGGGTGCTAGTCAGAAGCCATAAACCTGTCTATGCCATGTAGCCAGGGATCACACCAAAGTCATGATGTCTATAAACCTGGGAAATAGCAAACAGCAATCCAGACGTCGCAGGTTCAAATTTTGTTCACCGTTTAAAAATTACTATAATGCACCTAGTCTGTTTCCCTTCGTCTTTTATTAAAATATTTAACAATGCCTTCGCATTTGACAATAAAATCCTGGAGTTTTGTTTAATTTTGTTTTACAAAGTTACTAGTATAGTTGACTTAGTTTAAGTTGGAAGTTCATATTAACTTTCCCCCTTGCAATTTAGGTGTCCTTTCAGAGACTTTAGCACTTGCAAGTTGGCAGACGTTGAAGAAATCAGGAAAGGATATAAAAAAAAAATGCCAAAATTATTTAGCTCACCTTGCACGTAATTGTGAAGCTTGGCGTAGGGGGGAACACTCCTGCAGACTTGGCTAAATACACGTACACCGCACCCTAGTTCAGAAATTGACACAAAAAGTACAAGAAAATATACTAAGCTAATTGAAAACGTCTCTCAAAAATTAAAACTTAAATATTGAAACACAAGCACCAGTCATATTTCCTGCGTCCACTCACATATTTAATTAAAATTCATTTGAAAGATAGTATGTTTTATTTTACCAAAAGTTTTGGTAAGGGTTTTGGGCATCTAGATCAACAGATCAACACTAAAGAATATTTGTCCTGGGTAGGAGTTAGAAGGTGAATTTTTTTTAACCATGTGAATGATAACTATATCAAGTACTTACTGTATAGTTAAGACTTGCTGAGCCAGTAGAGGGCGCACTAACAGCAAGATCTGGCAAGCCGTCTTGGTTAAAGTCAAGAACTGCGACAGCGGTCCCAAAGTGACCATTCTTCTGTAGAATTCAACAAATATATTAACTCATAAAAATACAGGAAAACTTAAAATAGATAGGATTATAGAACAAGGAATTAATTTCAGAAAAAAGACTTGAACTCCAAATGGAACAAAATCACATATTAGAAAAATACCCAAGAAAGGAATTTTTTTCTGCATTCACATTTGGAAAGAGTAAAATAGGACACAACCCTTAAAACATTGCTATCGAAACTGATGATGTTGATAACTTGACGCAAAATTTTGATATCTGTGGTAGAGAACAAGTTTAATTTGAATTTCATCCTTTTTTAAATGCATACATTCTTTAAAAAAATCAAAAAGTTAAAATAATACAGCAGAACTTCCTGCCAGTTGGTGAAATATAAAAAGGAAAAATTAGGAAGACGTGCCAGAAAACCAAATTAATGTAAGCTTGCAAAACTTACCTTGTCTGTTACCGACAGTGTCAAATTTGCAGAAGTGTCGATGTCAAGTTGTTCTGGTAGGCTTTCTTCTCGACCAAACACAATAAATACTCGTCCATTTTGTGGGTTACCAGTGATGCCATAGCCCGGTGCCCCGATTATCAGATCATCTATCTTGTCTACGTTAACGTCGGCTGTGACAAGCGACCTGGACACAGACACAGGAAAAACACAAAATCATGCAAAAAATATTGTCAAAAGTAGTTTAGAACAAAGCAGAGCAACTTTGTCGGTCACCTGTAGTTGAACTTACTGTTGTTTAACCCCTTAAAACCGTGAATGCGCATTTGTGACATCAGGGCAAGTTTTCGTGGTTCGAATTTGCAAAAATTTAACACATTTCAACTCCGGCGAATTTCGCAGCAAATGTTTTGTGACGTCAAATTCGCATTGCATTCACATTCGCATGAAGTATGAACCAGACTTTACTCCCTATACTGCCAAAACTGACCAAGTACGGTATGGTATATCAGGAAATAAATACAATGTAATACAATGTAGTACAATGTAATACAATGTAATACAATGTAATACAATGTAATACAATGTAGTACAGGTGCTAAAAATAGTTTTACAAGTCCCACATAAAGAGCTAGGTAAATGATGGGCTCTACCTTCCTCAATCCTGCACAAATAAAAAATATTGAAGTGAGGGTTAAGGTTGGAGTCAATTCAAATCAGGCTTACCATCCCAGATGTGCGTAGGAATTTCTTGTTGTGAATGTGGACTTGAGATACGATGAGGAATGAGCGCTGTCTGACTTTGATCTTGACTGAGTTGCTTTCAACGCTGCGGTTCTCTTCTTGTGGAGCATCTGAATTTTTTTCTGCAATATTAAAAACCCAAAAGAGTATCTTTAAATGCACACAGGATCATTTGCTTTTTATGCATGTCATTTGTTTCAAATAATAACACCACTCAAAACCCAAAGAAGAATGTTCAAAGCTGTTGAAGTTTCAACTTGTAACCAGAATAATAGCCACATAACAGCTAAAAGTACACGATCTTGTATGTGTGGCTCATCCGTCACTTTTTTGAGAAAGACACTGAAAAAAGTCGACTCACCTTCAGCTTTTCAGACGGCGAGAAGTACACGCCTCTTCCAGTCTGCTGCTTATCAACAAGGTCAGGGGTCAAACCATGAAGGTCAACGTTGATGTGAAGTCCTGAGAGTTTTGAAACGTCTGGATCGGACTTCGGCATTGTGGCTGCCGTGGATGTGCCATTACAGTTGATGTATATGGGATTTCTGGGCAGACTGCACACACTGTATTTGTTGGACAAAAAGTGTGTTGAGCAAATTAGGCTTATAATCTACAGGATCTTGACAACATTGAAGAAGATGCTGAGGGACTTGCATTGGACTTAATTGCAACATCTCTGTCGCATTTCTAGATGAACAGTGATGAATGATCCTTGGTCACTGTTTACCCTGTTCTGATCTGACTTGCAATCTGTCTTTAGAAAGAATCGTGATTTGACGTGATTGATTTGTGATAAATGACTTGTAATAACTTAGAATGACTTGTAAATGGCGTTTGATTTTGTGATTAAAATGCGAGTGTCTTTTGATGTGACTTGTGATTGACTTTTGAGGACAGTTACAACTTAAGATTGAATTTATGGACGTGTGCAGACTTATGACTGACTTGCGATTGACTGGTGACTGACTTGATTGACTTGTGATTGAATGATCTGTGACCGACTTGTGACTGACTTATGATTGACTTGTGATTGACTTGTGACTGACTTGTGATTGATTTGTGATTGACTTGTGATTGACTTGTGACTGACTTGTGACTGACTTGTAATTGACTTGTGATTGACTTGTTTTTGACTTGTGATTGACTTGCGACTGAATTGTTATCGCCTAGTGATTGACTTGTGATGGACTTGTGATGGACTTGTGATAGACTTGTGATTGTCTTGCGATGGACTTGTGATGGACTTGTGATGGACTTGTGAGTGTCTTGTGATGGACTTGTGATGGACTTGTGATAGACTTGTGATTGTCTTGCGATGGACTTGTGATGGACTTGTGATGGACTTGTGAGTGTCTTGTGATGGACTTGTGATGGACTACAACTCCAGTCACAATTCTCACCTTGTGCCTTTGTCTAGCATGTAGATTGCTTCATGCCACACGTTGGTGGTCCATGTCGCCATGTCATCCAGACCTCCCAGGAAATAGGACTGAAATTGCTCTTCCATGAACGGGGACTTTGCTGCATAATCTGGAAACAACTGTAATAAAAAGCCAAGAATTCATAATAATAATAATAATAATAGCAAACATTTATACCGCGCTTAATACTACATTTCTAAGCGCTATTTGATGCTTGGAAGTTGCGTTGGGGTGATGTTATGTCAATATTGGGTTTTGCCCTTCCCCATACTCAAGTGTTGTCCCGAGTGAAGTGAGAAGTAATTCACAAACTAATCTGGTGGGATTCGAACCCATGACTTCCAGCTTACTACGACCTCCTGCTTGGAACCAGCCAGCTGAGCCTGGCAGGCTTGGTGGTCAAGTGGTGAGACGTGAGGATAAAATGTTTTGGGTTTCTTACCTTAGAAATAGCAAGCTTCTCACCAAGTCTGTAAAAAAATAAAAATTTACCTGAGATTTAAAGGTGTTTATCACAGTTTTGATGAACAAATGTGAAATGGAAAACTGTTTTCAAACTTTATGAAAATATATAACTAACTTTTTAAACAAAATGATACTCTTTCAACATTTCTAAGCCAAAATTTGAAAAAGAACATGCAACTCAATTGAACTAGCAATATGAAATGCTACATTTGTTTTTATAATTTTTTTTGTTAACCTCCTCAAATTGGGTCCATGTTATTTTGGGACTTTACAAATTTATGCTTTGATATTGTCTTTGAAAATTGGAAGACTTGGTAACGTTGAAAGTCCAACCTTTCTAGGAATAAGAGCGCGGTGCATTCTTCAATGAGGCTACTGTTGACTCTCTCTCGTCCGTACAGATCCTTGTAGATTCCAACAAGATCTTTGGTAGGTATGTACCTACAAACGATTATAAACAAATTCTAAAATTTCAAAAAAGTTTTACTCCCTTTTGTCTCCTGTCATCACTTTCAACAAGTGAGCCAATTTGCTGGTTTTCCTCTTTGAAAAGGACATTAAGGGAAGCTTTAAGAATTATTTCAACACATCTGTGTAGTTACATAATTGAACTTTATAAACTTCATTGTATTTTGATACAAGATAATACCGCCCTATTTTGTTTTAATATCTCATGCTTATAAATAAACCATGGTTAAATATAAACCAGTTTCTCATCCCTGCCCGCTTCTTTTGTCCCGCCCATCTCCTTTTTAAATTTTTATTTTTAAATTCATACATTTGCTATTTGTTTTGTACACATTGTCAATTTATTGTATTTTTTATTTGATTTCAACAAAAATGAAGTGAAAACTAGAAAGGGTGATGGCTCCTTTGGACACAATTTTGTATCATTTTCAACAACCAATTTGGTGGCAACTCTGATATTGATCCTGATGCAAACTTTTTCTCTGACATACACAATCACCCATCTGACTACTTATTCTGTGATCAGTTTAATGCAATGTGTGACAAAGATGTTAAACAAAGCAAGTTCTCTATACTGCTCAAACCGCCCAAGCACTCTATGATAATGGATTTGATCAAGAAGTATATTTGCAATGTAAATTACTAAACTACAGTTTTATAAAAGGGTTACAAATTTACAAAGACTTGGTATGACCTTAAATTATAGACTCATTCGGTGACAGCCATTTTCTGCGGTGGCACCAGGCTCGCGCGAGTCGCGCTAAGGTAGTACGCACATAGTCCGGGCTCCTTCAACCAATAGGTTATCAAAATGTGAGAACGCCTTGTCTTTGAGACCACGTGGGGCATGCGCGTGAGCGTGGCACCTCTGTAAAAATGGCTTCTAATTTTGTTCTGCGAATTACAGGAAGGTACAGCTGGCATATCAATCACCTCCAGTCACAGCACAGCTACATGTGTATGTCAAACTAACAAAAGGACTGTAAACAGTTAGAAACAGTCACTTGATTGATTTTGACTGCTATGATGGGTAGATGAATGTGGCAGCCAGAGAGGGAGGGTTTCTAATGAATCACTTTTCTGACAAGCTTTCTTACCAATCTGAAAGACTGTCAATGTATGATAGATCAAACTCAAATGTCGCCACTATATCCCCACCTATCAAAAACAAAGAAAGACATTTTCAAATAAACCATTAAGCGAAACTGACTAGGTGCATTGTAATTGTATTTTTTTAAAAATAGAACCAAGAAATTGACTGGAGCGGGGTTTGAACCTGTGACCCCCGGATTGCCATTCCAGTGCTCTACCAACTGAGCTATCCAGCCCTATCTTTGACAATGTTTTTGAAAAAGGAAAGAAAAAGAAACTCTCAGTATGGATAAAAAGGAAAAGGAACCTTTTTCTAGGCGGGAGGGTACTCATATTATTAAAGGTAAACACTGAAAAGTTTAAAACATTCTCAAGAATTTTGTTGGTTATCTGTGAACGGAACTAAAATCAAAACATTGAACTCACCAATATCTCCAACACTGTGTGCATCGTCAAAGCTACCATGAAAATTCACCTGCAAATAATTTATTTAGAGTAGAAAGATTTGATTAAAAATTTCTTGCCCCGTCAAAACGAAACTTTTGCACGACCAAAAGTTGGAAGAAAGAAAAACTTGTACAGATAAACAGCGATGTATAATGCATTTGGGCATTTTTCTGCAGCAGCTCAAGATGAGCCCAATTTAGTCTCTACCTTCACAGGTACCAATTTACACTCCTGGGTGGAGAGAGGCAATTGTAGTAAAGTGTCTTGCCCAAGAACACAAGCACCATGTCCCCCGCCAGGAATGGAACCCACGTACCACGGCACCTGAGTCGAACACGTAACCATTGGACCACAGCACCCCACAATGATCCCACAATAGTAATGGTTCACTGTGGCAGATCTGAAAACTATGACTTCTTTCACTCTTTGCTTTGATGTTTTGGCCGTTGCTATCTCTTCATGGCCTTCCAATTGGTGATATTTGAGCTCTTTGGGATATAAGAGGTCGAATTCTGCAATTTAATCGATGAGTGGCCTATTTCTGTGCAAAGATCCATATATACTTAGTTCATTTTAATATACCAATAGTTGTTAACATATTTTTATTAAATACATTTCTGGAAAATAAATTCCAAGGGTCCTTCACAGGCATTGTAGCTTGGAACACATCAAGAAACGTAGAGAGGGGATATTAAAGAAGTGCTCATTTAAAAAAAAAAAATGAGGTTGGAGGAAAACCCCAGAATGATAGTACATAGAAAACCCATGGAACTAGACAGGGACTGAAAAACCAATCCGCATGTTGGCCTAGGGGGATTCGAACCCGGTTCAGCGGTGGAAGGCAAGGAAAGTACCACTTTGCCAACCTGACTCCCCTAACTTCCAAAATCTTTGGATGAGAGTTTCTTTGACTTACATCTCCCATAGTTCTCAGGAATCCTTGGTCGATGCCCAGACTGTGCCAGGACACATCAGCGACTTGATGTGAGGCAAAACCAAGCATGAAGACCACTAACTTCTCTGTCTCCTGCAAAATACAAATAAAAAAGACAGAATGTTAAAATTTTTTTGTTGTTGCTTACATGTAAGTTCAAGAGGATAAAGGGTTCTCTCACGACCCCGCCTATATCCGAGCTAGTACCAGAAACTCAGTGTCGCCATTGCAGTAGGCAAAGATTGTATAGGGCTGCGTGCAGTAGGTAGTAGGCAAGCCTTCAAAGCTGTGATAGATGGCAGAAACCGTGAGCAAAACACAGAGTTGACAACGCCTGCTGATTCTGCACCATTATGACAACCACACACGACACAGGTAGTGAACATTATGCAATTTGATAAAGAAGTTGTGGTTAGTTTACGTGAAAATAAGCCCTACTGTCTTGTTTACAATGCATGATATGGTTACTAACCAAACGCTTGCTTACTGCAATGGTGGCCAATCATGGGGAAACCCGGATGGTTGCATGGCACTTTGACGTCAGACGATCAAAACCTACAGTGGAAACACTCTCTAAGGGAGTTTAACCTTGACGCTAACCTGCCCCCAATGTTTACATATTAACCAGGTAATTTTAGAGGATTTTGTAGGATAGAAGAAGGCAGAGCCCAGCTACAATTGTTCTGAGTGGATTGGATGGGCCTGAAAGTTGAAGTACAACAAAGGAGTCAAAATTATTGTGCTCATGCAGTTAAAAATAAAAAAAAAGGTTTTAAAAAGTCCAGTTTCTGATCCCCGTCTGCCTCCTTTTCCCACCTGCCTTCCCTTTTTTTTTTTAAATCATACAATATATTTCGTCTTATTATTTGTTATCAGCGAAATTGTAATGTATGCAAGTTGGAAATCTGGTACAAAGGGGTGAAGGCTCCCATGGACATAGTCTTGGCCCAAGACGCTAGTCATCAATAGTGGATCCTGCATAGTGCGCCCTCTAATGGCGCAATTAGACCAGCAGGCCTACTCGCACTAACGTCTTGGCCATTTTGAACCAGCGGTTTAACTTCTTCTTTATTTTCTCCCTTGGCTTTCCAAGGGAACCAATCAGCGATCGAGAAATGGTTCAATGGCTCGCCCAACGGTTGTAAACATATGGGCTATACGTGCAGTGATCAAGTATCAAAGCTAATTATGCAAGCCCTGCGGCCAATGGGAACTGCCATTTTGTTAGAATTTATGCAGACTGTCCTATTTACATAAAATGGCCCCGCCCCCATTGCTACGAAATGACCAAGACGTTAGTGAGAGAAAGTAAAAAATCCATTATGCAAGGGTGCTACAGAACAAATTGGAACTATCGCTCTTGACTACTGAAATCTTGGGTCAAGACTACCGTGGACACAAAAGTATTAGCAAAAGAGTCAAGAAAATGGAAGAATCCATTCGTCATCTTGGAAAATCCAGCATCTTAGGGGTAAAAAACACCTGTCTTCTTCCTTTAAAAAAAAAACTCAGACGAGAAACTATTTTTTTATTTGGCCTTACCTTGTCCCATGGCTTAGGATAGACCCTCCTGATGTAGTTGATTGTTGCGTTGAGGAAAGGCACCCAGTGAGTGTCCTCCGATACCTGGTGAAATTTACCTGACAGAAAAAAATATCAAGAAGTCAAAAAAAAATTTCAAACAGTCATAGCTAAACTTCGTAACACATGGGTAGACATTTCAGCAGTGCCTTGTTTACGAGCGAAACAAGCCTTTATTTTTTATGTTCTTGTGAGAGAAAAAATCAAAAGCTAGTTTGGGTGAAAACTCAAACACCCCGACACAAAATTTTCACCAAATGCCGCTGACAGCAAACCTTGTCAGGTTTAAACAGGCCAGCGAACTCTGGCAAATTTAGCAGCTGAAGAGATGGCCAGAGTAGAAGTTCTAGAAATCCACTTTTCTTCAGAGAGTTCTGGTTAAACATACATGTATCATCATCATCAGCGTTTAGAGTCCATTTGTCCCACTTTGTGGGGTTGGACATTTCATTTCCTTAATGGCTGCTCTCCAAGCTTTCCTGTCTGTGGGGTCCATGTGAGTGATACCAGATGTTTTGGCATCTTCTTCTACAGTTTCCCTCCAGGTTTTTCTGGGTCTCCCACGAGGCCTTCTTCCGGTGACTCAAAAATTTAAAGCTCTCTGGAGCCAGTGTGTTGCCTCTCTCCTAGCCACATGTCCATACCATCTAAGCCTGTTAATCCTCATAACCCCTGCTACCCCCATCAGGCCCACTGACTGAAGGAGGACTTCATTCCTCGTTCTTTCATGTAGTGATGTCCTGCACATCCACCTCACCATCCTCATCTCAACCTTTTCCAAGCGCTGTACACTAGACGATTTCATTGCCCATGTTTCGCTCCCGTATGTCATGCATTTTCTCACACATGCATCATACACCTTCCCTTTCACTCTTAGAGGGGTCACCCTTGAGGTATGACTACCTTGACCTTTGACCTACCTCCTTCGCATATATTGGGGTAGAAAGCGTCAGGGTACGGGTTGCCTCCCTGGAACGCATCTTGGTTGTCAAGAATCAGCTGAATAGTGGGCAGAACAGAAACAAAATCTGACAAAGCTATTTGTTTTTTGAGTATAGTTGTGCACATTGTTTGCATAAACACGCCACCAACACCCAAGTGTGTATGCCTGCAATCGGGGACCCCCTATTGTCCCTCTTTTGTTTGTAAACTTTTTAGGAAGACCACCCATATGTTTTGTACATATCGCCAAATTGGGGACCTTCAGGAATAGGGGCCCCTATTGTCCTCTATTGTTCAACGTCCCCTATTGAATGCAGAAACAAACTCAGGACTGAAAGTGTCGCAAACCACACCTTCCATGTTCATGATTCTTGTCAGCCAATTATTTTATGTTGCATTCCGCAATGAGAGGTTCTGCTGAATATGAACAACAAATCGGTCACACATTTTTTTTTGGATTTGCATGAATAGGCCCTATCCTCATTTTTCCTTAAAATTGGTAGAGTCATGCAAGTTGGCCTTTCAGAACCAACAGATGTCTCAGTCCTTCTGATTTGAGGCATGCAATCGCACCCCCACGCCATCGCACACCTAAAAGCTTCCCGAGAAGTGTGAATAATTGCACGCCTGAATTTCCGTGGACCACAGAATCACATATAGAAAATTACACACCTAGAAAAACCACACGCCTAGAATATTCAAGGTGTGCTTTTTCCACACGCCTGTGATTATCAAATCAAAAGGACTGATGTCTATTTTGAAGATACTTAGGATAGCAATCATTTCTGGTGAGTGTATCGTACTAGTCGGTACTATCATTGATGTAATTGGTTTTTGGGGTTTTTTTTCAATTAAAAACCTGCGATAGATTTTTAATTGTGAAATAGAACATCTGAGCTACATTATAATGAAAGACAAATATGTCGATGAAATAGGGCATGTAGGGTTGTCGTTTTCGAATAATTTAGTATTCGATTACTCGAAACTGTGTTGGACCGAATATTCACATATATTGGAAACTGCCAGCTGCAACTGAGAGCTGCACAGCATCATACTAGTTTCACCAAGAGTGTGTCTGTTAAAGGGAATGTACATCATTGGATTTTGCTGTAATTTTCAGAAATGAACTATTTGAGGGGTTAGTATAATAGATCAAATATTGTTACACTGACATGTTTGAAGTTTTGTGTTCGAAAATGGTGGAAAAACCAAGAAAAACCAAAATTTTCAAGTAGTCTGGTTCCCTGACTCCACAAAAGATGAAATGAATCAATTTATAGATGCGCGAAAATTGTAAGGTAAGGAAACCAGTCTAGCTGGCCTGCACCCGTTCATGAACATGTAACCAATAGCAAACAAAATTTGGACTGGAAAAAAATGGTAAATTTGGAGCAGTAGTTGAAAAATAGTTAGGTTTTTCCAACGGTGGTCGGCCGACCACCGTTGGAAATTTATACAAAATACCACTTTTCTTGAAATGACTTCAAACCAGGTGCCATAATTTTACAGGATGCTTTAGACTGTCATTTACCAACATCCTAGTAAGCTATTTCGTAAAAATTTGGTAGTTCTGTTTTCTAATGTTTGCAAATGTTGTATATTCCCTTTAAAGTTTGCGTCATCGATCGATATGGTACGCTGGGGTGTTTTGCAGTACATATTTTATAACTGTAAAAGGGCTTTAACCTGTTAAAAGGAAGCGAATAATGAACCACTGTCAACAAAAAAGTGGCACCTGACAATAAAGCGCCGCAACTTTACGATAAAATAACATCACAGTTGTGTGCGTACGTGCGTAGTTTTCTTTTCTTTGAATATTCAAACCGGCAAACAGCTATTCAAATATTTGGTTGATGATCGACTATTCGGTATACATGTACATGTATCAGGACAGCCCTACAAAGAAGATGGAAAGATATCCATATACGAAGTTCACTCAACACCCTGTGTACACACCCTATGAGATTGGACTGAAAAATTCTAAGTGTTTTCTAAGAAAATGCTTGTATTTTCTCACTGCTCAAATTGACTTTGATGACATGAAATTGCTATTTCGGGGCTTGTTAGTCAATACAGAGGAAATTAGTGAACTTCGTATATGGAAATCTTTCCAAGAAGATGAATGAGAATGTCCCCACCTTTTTGTAATCCACGCCTCCTGTTTGATCTTCAAAATATTCCGTTGCTCTGTGCCCTATCATGAAGTAAAAGAGAATATTAAAACTAAGTATTCATTAATTAACATGAAACACAACTTGGTGGGTTTAGACCCACAAGTATTAGCCCAAGTAAAAAAATAAACCAGTTTCTCAGTCCTGCCCGCTTCCTTTTTTACCGCCTGCCTCCTCTTTTTTTTTCTTTTTAAATTCCCACATTTGCTATGTTTTAACTGCTGCCTTTTTATTTGTTTCCAACAAAATTGAAACTATGTAGAAAGGGTAATGGCTCCTTTGGACACAATAGAGTATCAGCAAAAGTGTCGAGAAAATGGAAGAAGCCATCCACCATCTAGGAAAATGCACCATTTTTGGAAAAAAACAAACAATGCCCGCTTCCTTCATTTTTTAAAAAAGCCTGCATAAGAAACAATTTAATTTTTTTACCCACTCCATGCAGCTGCAGCAAATACATTAAAAATATGAAATTGGCACAATAATAAGTTCACTGTAACACTTTGGCAATTAGGAGTAAGAGTAAGTTATATCATGTTTCTCTTGCCAACAAAGTGACACTGGAAATTGTCAAAGTTAAAAAAAAAAAATTTGGCAAGGTTTCTCAGTACATGATCTTATTAAAATAAGGAAACTGAATTCTACAAATATGTAAACACACCTGTATCAACATGGAACTTTACTTGAATGTCTAGACATAACTCTCTCCCCACTCCTAGATCCTCCTGCTTAAAATAACAACAAATTGCCCCCCCCCCTTCACCCGACTGCCCGACTCCGCCCATTAATCCCAATCACGCCAGTACAATCCGATTGTATAGTGTGGTACGGCCAGTAGACTCACGTGATAATGTATGGGCCAAATATAGACAATAACAAAACAAAACTCCTCACCTATTTCGATGTGTGTGGTGGTGCCGCAGCCTCTGACGACCCCTAGATTAATTCCAAACAAAATGGTGACAAATAGAAGCGCCATGACTTGTATAAGTTGCAATGAATCTCGGAAAGACAGCTCACAGAACTCGTTTGTACAGTGCGGCCGCGCGTAGGATGGAGACGTGGTGGCTTGGTGGCATACATGTAATTGTGAAGGGACTGGGAACAAGACTATTTTTGTTGTGTCAGGTGACTAGTTTATCACGTGTCACAACTTGTAATCACCAGACGGCTGTTTACGCATTAGGGCGGATCCCATATACAGCTCTATGGGGGGGGGGGGGGGTCAGTTACGTTTTTGAGAAAAAATATATATAAGATATATAATCTTAAGATGCGACGTCATGTATTGAACATCACAGATTAATTACATCATAAAACGTTATTTCATCTTTCCGGTTTTGTTTTGTTCACATCTGAAGCTAAAATCTCTTCTGCCCCTCTGCACTTAAATTGAAAAAAAAAACACACAAAAAGATCGAGAACGAAAAACGAATTTTAAAGGTAATTTGTTATCACTTTTATTATGTCAATACCTTTAAATTAACATTGGTCAGCGACAGGCTATACATTTGCGTCAGAACTTAAGATAATAGGAAACGAAGCCAATCAAATGTAATGGTTTCTTAAGAGTCTCTTAATTATGTCGGCCATTTTTTTTGGGGGGGGGGACAAAACAAATCCGAAGAGCAAAAAAAAAGAAAAAAAAGAAAAAGGAAGCTCGACCTAAAGAAAAGCCCAGTCTAAGGTCCCTCCCGGCATGATGAGATTGAGGTCCATAAAGTACGTTTATCTGATGCCTATTAGGGCCTTCCCCGCGCTCTTTCGGTTGACATAATTATAGGATCATTATTTTGCTTAAATTTCATTTTCAAAATAACACCACTCAAAAATCAAAGAAGAATGTTCAAAACTTAACCTGTTGAATTTTCAACTCAATGGATATTACACTTTTCCAGAAAACTGTAAAAAAAAAAAGCATGGCATGCTTTTTTACTGTTTTCTGGAAAAGTGAAATATTCATTGAGTTGAAAATTCAACAGGTTAGGTTTTGAACACTGCACAATCTTATTCGAAACACAATTTCGTCCATGGAACTCGACTTTTGGAATTAGAGATTCCAAAAGTCAGTCAATTGACTGATCATTGGAAATCAACTTCATGTCTCGATTTCTTCTAAATGACAGCAAGCCATGGCCAGACGGAATAACTCCAGTGCAGAAGTACCAGTGCGATCTTTAATCCAAATATGGCCTAAAGTAAAACTTTTTGATAATAATTCCAAAGGTTAATTTGGGATAAATGCAAATGATCCTATGCCTTTAAAAAATTGTTGTGGTCGCGGAATGAGCCCATAGCCCGTCTAATACTACTGTTTCTGCTCTATTATTTAAAAATATTTAGCTGGCATCTTTCTACTATAATGATAACTACTTTTCCTGTCCAATATTCTCTAGTACCCGCACAGTACGTAATGAATTGGTCATGTTGCGCACTGGCTTGAATAATATGAGAGCGAAAGCTAACTCAATGCAATATTTGCAAAAATGATGAAGAATAATGCTCATTAAACATACCTTATTTTAATTGTCTGCTTTTCAAACTAACAATTTGCTACTGCGTTGAGTAAAACTTATCTGTACATAAATGGTATACAAACAGAATTAATAATATGGCACGAAATAACAGGCCAAAAATTTGACTGAAAAATCACCAAAAAAAACGTTCAAGAGCAAAAACTTTGCGAACATTACGTTGTTATAATTATGTACAATCATTAATGTGACATAAAATCTTAAAAGAAGGTGGAAATCTCGTTACAAAATACTCGCGATTCCGATCGAAATGATACTTAAAGTCTCCCTCAAACACGCTGCTCTCGTCACACCAAAATGAACAGCGCCACCAGCGTGGAAAAATCTGAAGGGTTGATGATGTCAGTATCTAAAAATAGGATCTGCATAATATAGTCATGTATGGTCCTAATTTCGCGTATGGCAAACCATTTTAAGTTAATTTTGGGAATTTTCTAATGACGGTGTGATTTTTGGCGTCACGAGATGGCGCTCCACGCTCTTAGACTTGACTATCAGCCTTTGCATGGAATGGCGTGACTAGCTCTCAATTCACACCGTCTGCCTCCCACAAGCAGCTTCCGTGTGCGCAGCTTGAAGCCATTGACACATGTGCCGTAGCCGCTCCATGGACCGAAGAAGCATTTTTCTGTCAAGCAAAATTAGGAAACAAAAATAGTAGTCAAGATATTACCCTAAATAAGTTTACAAATCTGAACTATCGGTCACTGATATTTATGAAACAAAATTAATATCATCCTTACCCAACCCAAACCAGACTACCCAAACTAACCCATCCCAGCCCAACCCAACCCAACCCAGCCCAGCCCAGCCCAGCCCAGCCCAGCCCAGCCCAACCCAACCCAGCCCAGCCCAGCCCAGCCCGGCCCAGCCCAGCCCAACCCGACCCGACCCCACCTAACCCAGCCCAGCCAAGCCCAGCCAAGCCCAGCCCAACCCAACCCAACCCAACCTAAACCGACCTAACACAGCCCAACCCAGCCCAGCCCAGCCCTGCTCTACTAAACCCAACCCAACCCGACGTAACCCAATGCAACCCAACTTAACCCAGTACCCACCAGTCCCGTTCTTTCCGTAGCAAGGTTTAGTCCGTGCGATGGTTTCCTGACAATCAGCAGGAGTTATATTCTCTCTCACCAGGGTACCGGTGATCGACCGTTTTCCCGCTTCTTCGTCACAGTCGCTCCACTCACCCCAACCGTAGACACAAGCTTTGGAGAAAAAACCCAGAAACTTACCTAAATTTATCGTGAATTTTGTCTTTCGTGAAATTTACCAAGCCGGGCGCATATATCTTCTTGGCAAAACGAGGCTACCTATACCGAAATATTATGCAATGGTTATATCCTTTTGGCACGCTTTTAGCTGTTTTCGCTAACAAGCACATAAACATTGCTTACTGAAACTGTCTGTTTAAAACTTAAGTCCCATGAAATTTAGCCACGAACAAGAAGCAGAGAGATTTTTTTGTTTGCCAAGTGGTAAAAATACTCGCCAAGCAATGTCTGCCTGCAAATGTCTTTCAAACTGAAATTGTTGAAATAGTTTCTCTTCCGAGCTTTTTGAAAAGAGGATGGAGGCTGCCTTTCCCCTACTTTTTTTTCTCCCAAGATGGCAGATTTTTCCAAAATGACGGATGTATTCTTCCTTTTCCTTGACTCTTTTTTTTTTGGAGAGGGTGGGCGGGAAAATAGAAAGAGGGCGGGGCGAGACACTGGTTTATTTATTTACATAATCCTTTCAATGGGTAAGTCCTAGTTGTATTGCTCAGCACATCATATTAGCCGAATTTTAAGTTTAGTTTGTGATCGATAACGAATTTAGAATGGAGAGATTATTTTTAGTTTTTTATCACCATGAAAAAAATATCATGTTTTATATTAACTGTATAAGTTGTATGGGTGGACATTCAAGGAGTACTTGGCCCACTTTCCTGGTAATGAGACACATCTAAGAAATGGCTAGTTTAACCACAAGGCCCTCAACTTAAAGGAAACCCCATTGCTAATCTGCCTAGTCCTGCCCCCAGATACAAGTGGACCAAACACCTTCACTGTTGTTTTATAAATATTCAAAAGATAGTGAACAATTCTTAATATTAAGCTGTAAGATATAGCTGAAAGATTGGAATGTCCATTTACTGTATACTAACCCAGTGGAATCTAGAAATCAAACAGAGAGAATCACTGCCAACCGAATTATACAACATCTGCTCACAATTCAAGTACAACTTCGTCTCTTAGTGTCTTCCTTTGTTCATATTATTACCTGCTGGATTATACTTACCGACTGCGCATCGTTGGTGGATGTCTCTCACCAGACGACAGCCCACCGATTCCTTGGTTTGATCGATGAGTGTGTCGTGCCGCTCACGCATGTCACTCGTCACGTTACACAGACTCCACGGTCCCAGCACGTACTCGCAATCTGTGACGTGACACACGGGACAAATCAATCAATGATAAAAAATAATTCATGATTACAATTTAATACAAATATCAAGCCAATACATTCAGAAAACAGGGCCTGAAACTTCACCTCTAGTGCCGCGCTACCTCAACATTGAATAGGAAACTGAACATGCAAACACTCTAAAATTTGCAATTATTTTCGGTACATTTTATTTGTTTGATGTATTCAAGCCAGCACGACTAAAATCTAGAACCCATCGGCTGTAGGTACGGGGTAGGTAGGTAAATCTTATTATATATTTTCGTTCTCACGCAAGTTAAGTACGCGATGTGAAAAAATCTTAACGAACAAGGAGGCCTTGGAAACTGCCGGATGTGAAAGGTCGTTGTTACCCATCTACAAGTGATTTCTCGTCCTTTTTTCCTTGAGGAATACCAAGGTAAAGTTACAACATGAATGTTTCTTAGGGTGATTACGGTTAGAAATCATTCTGTTCAAAATTATAGCAAGAAACAGAGCGACCCTGAGTAACTTCCCACAGGCGGGCCGCGCGAGGGGTCCGGAAGCTCGCCGCGTGACCTTTTACTTTCAGGCTCAATTGTTTTTAATTATGTGTATCACCAGATCATCCGACGACAAACTGAATAAGTCATGTAACTTGGTCACCGATCCCGTGATTAAACCGTATATTTGGCACAATAAATCTTTTGTTTTCTATCTTCGTATGAATGAGTCATTCCTGTTAAAGATGACACAAGTTCACAATCGAAATGTTGGAAAGTCTGCTTCACATAATTATACCTATGGCTGGAGTGGCCGCATATACAACTCTACCCTGTGTACAAGTACTTGTATTACAAGTACTTGTACACAGGGTAGAGTTGCAATGTAAGTCGCCGATAACTCTACCCATGTGCTCCCACATACCCCTGAATCTCACATACGTTTGTTAACAATTTGTTGGTTATAAAATTAACACAATTTACCCACTGCCACACCTCCTTTATCTCCCCTTTGTGATTTTCCTTCCGCCCATGCATGCTTATATGGTCCCCTACTTGTCTGTGTATGTACAACTGCCACTTTGCCGGTTTGAGAAAGATAGTGCCGGAACCGAAATATTAGGCTATCCATGTTTTTTGGGGGTATATTTCAGGTCAATGCTAGCAGTAGGCAAATTTGCAGCAGTGTCATTATTATTATTATTTTGTATTATTATTATAATAAAGCCTGCATAGAATGATGTCCCATCATGACTGGTCTGAATCTCTCCACTGACTGCATATGCACTGGTAGCCCAAACGAGGGGCAATCTATTGGCAATAAATGTCTGTGCATAGAGCAAGGTTGCTCTATGATCTGTAAACGCACTTCAAGTCTTATGACCTGGAAATTGGGGTGGGCACCGGTGACGTACCTTTCCTTTCAACATAATTAAGAACATGAGTCATACGAGTTGAAGTGAATGTCATTATGCATGCTATGACTGCATCAACTACAAGCTGTAAAGCAACATTATGTCGAGTCACCGTTACTGAAGAAAGTTCGCAGCTATGCCGATGGGCGTCTGATAACAAGTCTAATCTTTACGAACATGCAGCAGCTTAGGGTTGAAGAGATGTCTATCCTAATTAAAGTTGTGTAGGCCTTGTCGATGATGATGTTTCTGCCCGGTCGATTTGGGTGACGGGGGAGTTTCTGTCAGCTTTAAGGCAAGGTTCCTCTTGTAGCTAGGGGTACACGTGTGGAGTCTAAAAAGGCCGCGTCCGCTTTTGGCTAGGAAACCAAAAACACCTAGCATAGCCTGTTTCTCATATCATTTTACCGAAATAAACCAGCGTAAGTCAACACTTGTAAAGGCATAGGCCTATACATGCAGGATCATTTGCATTAAAAATCCCACAATTAACCTACATTGTACCTTACTGTAACAAACAAAGTTACTATAGAATTAAATATATTGGTGCTAAACACCCTGTGAAATTTTTCCGTCTGGCATGCATGCTGTCATTAAGAAGAAATCAAAACATATTTCCGGCTCACGATCAGTCAATAGACTGATTTGTTGGATTAAAGAGTGCAACTGAAGCAATCGTGTTTCGTGAACAATAGGTTGAACATAGTTTTCCATTGTTTTCTCGAAAAATGTAATATCCACAGAGCTTAACCTTCAGTTGGTTAGGTTTTGAATATCTTATTTGGATTTTGATTGTTGCTATTACTGGGAACGAACAAAATGCATCAAAAGCAAATGTTCCTTTATGCCTTTAAGCCATCCATTATGTGAAGCGATATAAATACAGTGCTGGCCAGAACAGTTCGCCGAATATGGGCATCACGTGACCGTGACATAAACCGATCCATTAAGCCCCGCCCACTGCGCACGTGGGCAACCAACACGACCCGTGCACGGGCGCTTCATACGCGCGCGTGCATACATATCGGACTTTTTTATGCACGCATGTCGGACATCAGTCACGGCTGTGATTGGTCAAGGCATCATTTGGGCGGGGCTTAATGGAACGGTCTATTGTGGAAACGGGTGCGACATGATGGATACCTGAAGGTTCACAGGAGGGGGAAGTGACAGGACACACCCTGCTAATCCCACGGTGCGTAGACAGGCCCGGTAATAACGGAAACCTCAATCTTAATCAAAATGGTTAAATTGATTCTTTTCTTATGGGTGTAGGATCAAAACGCAGCCAACTTTCTTTCAACAACTTTCCCCGTCCAATCGGTAAGCATCGACCGACACCTGCTGACGCTTATCCCGGTCTCAATTAGCAGCTTTCCGCAGATGACTGGGGGAACGTCTAGGAGGAAGTCTTCAAGATACTGAACATTCTCCACGACTAAATCCTAATCTTCTGACTGGTTCTTGTTATGTGTCGTAACGGCGGCCCCCTATGACTAGTCTTCAACAATGTCTCAATTCTCGGCTGTGGCCAGAAGTAACACACGTGTCTACGGGATTTGGACTGAAGTCAGACTTAAAAAAGTCTACACAGTTGCAGCGCCTACCTGGCAGGTTTTCTGTATTTGGTGGGTGTAATTACTGGCGAATTTATACTTACTATTCTTGTTCTCCAGCCGTCGCTGGTACTTATCGCAGGGTTTGGTGATGACTTTCTTGGCAGGGCACGTAGCCGGGTCGCCTTTCTTCAAGATGTAGAGCCTGGTTTGGAGACTAGTCTGCTCGTCGCATGCGGTCCAGTCCTTCTTGTTGTATTTACACTCTGATGGAGAAGAGACACAATCAATAAAATAATATCTTAATGATCAAAATAGTGCACTATTTCAGGAGCCAAAAGGCTTCTAAGGTTATATTACGTGAAGTTTGGAGACGCTTGTGTGCTTTCCCGATAAACCCATCTCCGAATTTCTGTGACGTTTGGTATTACAACAAATTCCTACATGCATAACCAAAAGTCGGAGATGTTGGCGGTTCATAAACGTCGGCTTCTTCTCCCGCTTCGGCTTAATCTCTGGCTGCGGAATTATTAGAGAAGCCTATTAAAATGTCCAAAGTATGGGGCCTAAATGTCTTCTGAAGTTGAAGCTGGAAACGAAACCGAGGTTTGGAAAGGCCCAATTTCGAACTTCAGACTCTGTTGAAACAGAGGTCCTTGCAATATTTAGTCTTTATAGCTGAAGAAGAAAAAGACTTGATTGATGTAAAAAGATGAGACAAGATGGCGCCGTCCAGGCGAAGATATTTTGACCGAGTATTACTCACTTTCAGTGTTTTCCTCTGGAGCTGGCGGGGTTTCCTCCCGTTGTCGTTTCGGTGGTACCCTTTGCCTTTCTTCACCCTCTTGTGAGCTTGCCCCACGGTCTCGCCCCTCACCGTTGTTGCCACCTTTCCTCCTCCCTTCCCCTTCGGTCCTAGCCGTGCCTTGGTCCTGCGCTTCGCAAGGCACGCGACACGGCCGGACTTGCTCCTTCTTCTTGCAGTTCTCGCCGTCCCGCGTGGCCCGCTCCACGCCCTTGCCGCACGGCCTGCCGTGGCGGACCTCGCACGCTGACCATCGCCACTCGCTGCAGCGGGGATTCGGGCGGTCGTCAGCGGGGCTGGGCCGCTGGGAGTCGGCCGAGGCCTGAGGCTGGTTGGACGGCTGTTGGGTCGGCGTCTGCTCGTGTTTTGGAGCACGAGAATCTTCGGTTGGTGGGTTCTCGGGTTGGGCCGCATCGGCCTGAGGCCTCGCTGTAAAACAAAATATAGTGTACTAATTCATACTTCAGAAAAAAATATAATAATAATATATACTGACTGTTCATTCGCATCTGAACCTCCGAATGCCGATTTCAATTTCGTTTCGACATATGTTTTACATAATACAAGTGAGATTCTCTCTGAATCAGACAAAAAAAGACCAAGGCGGCTGACGACCGAATTAGATAATTATCATCGTTCCCAGCAACTCTGGAAATCGGGGGCCACTTTGCGAGTCAGGTAAATTCATGGAGTTTGACAGAAGGGAAAAGTTTTCGTCAGTTTGGTGTGTGTGTCTTGTGCCATTGGCCTAATTCACGAGTTGGGCATTTTTGTTGAGTTTCATGAACATATATCATTAATTCTTAATTGTTGAATGGGATGGCGACAGACTATTTTTGCAGGCATAAAATGCAACTTTTTTTTACTAGCTTTAAACGTTAGGGAACGTTTAATTACAATTTTTTAATTATTCATTTAAGCAGACTGGAATTAATTAGTAATTTAGTTGCTTTCATTTCTCTACACAAGTTCCAAAAATGAAGATTTTACTCATTGATCTCCATTAGTAAGACTTTACCTCACTCCCAATCCAATATGGCTGATCCGTGAATAAGGCCCATGTGTCCAAGTTGTGTCAACTGGGTGACTAAATGGTGGCTTTTGTTTCAGTGTGAATATTACACACCTCTCCAGACAATAACGATAATGGTGTGCTACATGTGCCCTTATACAGCGCCTGAATGAATTCCCGTCATCTGATTTGTGGGTCGTTGATCACGTGTCATTGAATATTGTTCGTCCCCGGACGCACGCATTGCACGGCCGCACCGCAAAACAGAAGTTTTATTCCACAGTAATAGAAGTTCCACTGCACGGTTACGCGATCGGTGGTTCTAACCAATCAGATGACGAGGATCTATTCAGGTGTTGTATGAAACAAATAATGAATATTTAAAATTCGTTCAATGGAAAGATTAAGTTAATTCGGTGACAGATGCAATGTTTTATTGCACTCGGCTCACGAAAATATTCTTACCACTTCTACTCACAAACATTGATTATTTGTATACTAACCACGTCTTGACTTCCCAGCAACCTGGTTAAGTGGCAATATTTCTTAAAACTAAGGAGTTTTGGACATTTCTCAGGGAGAACTCGGGAAGTGTTGTTTCCGTAAAGTGCCGGAAACCCTGAACAAGGGATGTGTTGCTTTTTTGGTACAATGTCATTTTGTTTCTTCGAAATATTCAAGTTACGACAAACATTTTACCAGACGGACGCGTCAAGCGCTACCGTGGGAAGTTGCTTAATAACCCACCGTCTGCACTTGTCATCGCCCGCTAAAAGCCTCTTAGAACACCGTAAGCCGTGGGGATTAGCCGGTATACGGAGGCCAGCTGGCCCCGAACTTGAACGTCAGTTCGCCATCAGATCATGTGCACGGGGATTGAAGACATTCTGGTCGTTGGGGGCGGGGAAAGCCCGCCCCTTGCCATAATCAGAACAGACTCCACTCCATGAACAATAACAGGTGGGTTTAGTGAAGGACATTGTCAGATGAAAAGAACCCAGAGAACATCCCCCCCCCCCTCAAAAAAGTTGGGGAAATGGTACAAAGAATAAAGGTATAGCTGCGGACGCAAGAAGGTGATTTTAAAGGGGATACGATGGGCAATTTCCTTGTGAGTGTGTTCTTTTTGAAGGTGGAAGTTAAATGTTTTGTACGGATTGCTTGGGTCGGTTGACCCCTCGTGGAAAAACAATGAAGAATGCTAACTTAAAGGGCCCACGCTATGTACTTATTTTTTATGCAGTCCTTGAAAATGCACCTTGGTGTCCCATTTAACCGTATCTTCGATTTTCGTTTGCCATTTTCAAGGGTAGTTTGATGTTTTGTGGTTTTATGGTAATGTGAATTTCAATATTCATGAGCAAATCTGTGCCGTCATTCCGAGCAGAAACCTCCATATTAAAGCAATTTCAACACAAAAATTTGTTAGAATTTTTGACATTTTGCTGTCGTAAATTTTCTTTTCTTTGGTGATTCGTTGTTGTGTCAGTAAGTACATGGTAGTAAGCCAATGAGCAAACCTTTCTCAGAAGGGCCCATGCAATGTTTTCAATGAGCAAATTGTGTGTTCACAATTTGAACAGAAAATCCCTAAACACCACCAAAAAGGGTCTTTGTAAAATTGTTACGAGCATATCAATGGATGGAAACTGATAAATCGCCTGACGAGAAAGAGCAATATCGTGCCAGAAATTGACCTCTCACTTATGAAAATCTAAAGTACATGCGGACTAGTGCTACTCGGTGTACTCGTACATCGGATGAAAAATGATGAAATAATTTTGTGGCGTTAATTTGGTGAAAATGTCTTTTAGGGTTTAATTTGTTTATTTACGAACAAAATCTAAAGTGACCACTACTAAAGACTGCAGTCATGCCAGCCAGACTAAATTTAGAACCCTTCGGACGTAAGTAGGTAAATCTTCACGTCGTTATACATTCTCGTTCTCACGCGAACAAGGAGACCTAGAAATGAAAATGCCGGATGTGAAAGGTCGTAAATGAAATTCGTTTAGACCTTTCATTCTCCATTTCTCATCAATTTTTATTTTAAGAATGCCGAGATAGAATTCCAACATGAATGTTTCTTGGGGTGGTTACGGTTAGAAATCATTCTACCAACAAATATAGAAAGAGAAAGAGCAACATTGTGTGAAATGCCCGTAGGCGGGCCGCGCGGGGGGTCCGGAAGCTGAGTCGCGTGACCTTTTACTTTCAGGCTCTGTTACCATCTAAATACATAATTCAGTAGGCTACTTTCGGGGGGTGCCTTTAAAATAATTCTGTCATGTTCTGACATCATTTTTCAGTTCCTTCTTGCTCGCGATTGCCTCCAAACCCTCTTACAATTGTCTTGCAGGCCTACCAATAGCTCGTGAATTGCCAGAGACACTTCATAATAAAACACAATTGTTTTAAAAGTGCATGGGAACAATTTGCCTTGTGTGCAGTTTTTGTCTTTTGAAGCAACACAATTTCTCACAATTTTAAGAAGGGTGCACAACTAATTTGTTCAGTGGATACATTTTGAGAAAACAGACATTTGCGACATTTTTGGGGTTTTGTAACTGAATTCCGTTGCTAAGGCACGTAAAAATGGGCCAGCGGGCGTATTTCAATATTTACTTTCTTCCATATAATACCATTTTCAGAAGGAACAATTTCTCAGGGTATTTGGTACTAGTCCTATCTTCACTTTGAGCAAGGGTTTTCTCGTTAAATCGGTAGGTCCACTATCGGATAATTGCAAATGTCTTTACGTACCTTTAAGCAAGTCCAACTTTCTAGGTTTTCAACGGATCCTTACCTGATTGATAGCTGGCAGGTGGCGCCATTTACGCAAAGTAATTCCCAATTTGCTGGCAGCGAGTACAAAGTTGGCCAACTACGGAACCCGATAGCCAGCTCGAAATTGGCAGATGTTTTTATATTCAATTTTTCCGAAATTGTTTGGGAAAAAAAGGTCTGGTACTTTTGGCACCGTATACCGTATAGCGTAAGATGGGGCATGCTTTGTTGCTTTGTGTAGATATTATGAATTGGATGTACAGAGACTCGAATTTAAGGGAAACTTGGAATATTAATGGTGCCAAAAACTTTATGATGATCGGATGATCAATAGATAACGTCGAATTTAAAAGGCTGTACTGTTCCTATTAAGCATTGACCCAACTGTTATCTTGTCTTATCTTACCTAAAATAATGTTGTCTCTAAACCACACGACAACTGGATCCATTTTTCATTTTTAAACATGTTATAATATTTTTTTGTTGTCGACGAAAAACGACATCTTGTCAAGGGCAGTTTATAAAATGATTGATTAGCCACGTCACTTGACAACACGAGCGATATAAAAGGTGTGGACCTTTCTATTTTTTTTGGGGGGGGGGGCAGGGGTTTGCGTACCGGCGTACCCCCTTAAAGGGCGGATCCGGGGGGGGGGGACGGGAGTCGTGCCCCCCCCCCCATCCCACCAAAACGAACCCTTTTGTTTTAAAGTGACGTCGCAATAAAGGCAGGCACTGCGTACACCACAATCTTTTCCTCAAAAAATGTGGTTAAAGTGGTAAGAAATTGCCTCAGATCGCACTACAGAGCATATTGAATAAAACAAACAAATTAGGGCCCTTGAGCGGGCCCCGAACCCCAGGTCGTCATTTTTTTACGACCTGCTCTTCGAACCACTTTTTTGCCCCCTCCCCCAAGTTGTGTTCTGGATCCGCCCTTGTTGGCTACGGGCCTGGTGCTGTCTGTTTTGCACTGTCCATGATACCAATTTACATGCCAATGAAGTTATGTATTTCATGTCAAAGAGCAAACATGAATATCCCTGTGGATCGATTTTATTTCATCGCAGAACAAACCTCGGGTGGTATTTCAGTTTATTACATTAATGAATCATCGATGTTAACATGCCGTTTGCTTTCTTTTGAAAAAAATAAGAATGCAGGGCAAATAAATCTCTGTATTTTCGCAACACTTTGGCGCCGGTCAAAAGGCTAATATCGTATGATACCACTTTGGGGAATAGATGTGTAATATATGACGCTGTTATTCTGCGTTCTGTCTTCATTCAGTGTATGAATTATTGCCGGTTTATTTGGTAATATGAAAAAGTGTAAAAGAAGGAGAATATCATAATGAATATTTTACCATCGATAGTTATTCACAGTGCCGACACATCTGCCACCATAGGCGCGCAGCCGCGCGCAGGGAGTTGTTTAATACTGCCCCAGCTCGTCAGGAGAATGAACAATTCCTTTTTCAATATCTGAGGGCTCTATTGCGTGTATGCAGTTTTGTCATTTTGGAAAAAAAAAAACACGCTTAAAGGCAATAGGATCATTTGCATTTATCCCAAAAGTAACCTTCCGTAGTATTACTAAAATGAGAACCTTTAATACATGTACTTGGATTAAAAATCGTACTGGTAACTAAACACCCCGTGAAATTATTCAGACTGGCTTGCTGTCATTTACCCCCCCCCCAAAAAAAAATCAAGAAATTTAGGCCTATAGGTGATTTCTAACAATCAGTCAATTGGCAGAGTTTTGGAATAAAGAGTTTTATTTACAAAATCTGGTTTCATGATTAAAAGAGTGTGCATGGTTCCGGTTTCGCACTGTTTTCTCGAAAAAGTGTAAGATCAACTGAGCTAAAACTTCAACAGGTTAGGTTTGGAACATTCTTCTCTGGATTGTGAGTGGTGTTATTATTGGAAACGAACAAAATACATGAAAAGCAAATGATTATATACCTTTAACTTAAAAGACCACCATCTCTGCCATTATGTTCCTGGGTCGGAAGTTCGGAGCCGAGTTATGACAAAGTGTCTTGCCTAAGGGCACACGAACTGCAGCCCAAGAGGTTTGACTCGAACCCGAGAATCTGTAGAATTATACCAACTCGATCTTGAGTTTGACAAAACAGACCACTAGGCCATAACTCTTTTCATACCGAGAACAAAAAACAGGGGTACCTAGTATTACGGATCTAGGGGGGGGGGGGGGGGGGGGGGTTGCCCCCTTCAGCCGCTGATTAATATCAGGGGCGTAAATCCCGGGGGTTGGGGGTATTATATCCCCTCCACTTTTTGATCAGGGGGAAGGGTTTTTGAATCATTCCCCCACTTTTTGTGATGAGAAGAAAAAATGCGGATTTTGAGGTATTTTCGAACATCCCAACAACTGAAATCTATTCAATAGCACTGAAAAGTGGAGAAATAAAGTACAAAAGCTTTAAAAGCCGTTTTGATGTAAGCGCGAGTATACATATTGATATACATTTTTATCCCCGCTTTTCGAATTTCCGCGGTCGGGCAATTTTAGGATTTTGGTCATCCCCCATCCCCCCACTCGCCGGCACAGATTTACGCCACTGACTAATATTATATGAAACTCTGAGTCGTAAAATGGGCCAAAAATAATAAATGGAATGCTAAAGTTCCTAAATGTATTGTTGAATTAACCTTTAAATGAAGGACAAATCATCGTAGATTTCAAAGTTTTCCGGCACGCCTTAGATTCACCCCCTTTCAATCCCTCCCCCCTCGTTTCCTTAAAGTCAGACCCGCCCCTGGGTATACCGTTGGGCCAAATAAGTTGGTACTTTGCCCAATGTCTGTCACACCAACTGCTTATAGACCATTTTTAGGTTGCGAGGCCATCGTGATTTTCCCATTTAAATCAACGTAACCAAAGCGAGGCTGGAGGGAAAGTAGTCTGGTTCCTTTTTGCACAAAAAGCATTTTCATTCAGTATTGTTATTGGATACAGGGAACATGACTGAAATGGCGGCAGCATGATAGAGGTCTGAACTTTGTTTAGCAGTGTAGAAAGTTGACATAAATGGGTGAAATTCAAAACGTTGCAATTAACCCATTTCCACGCATGATTTGAATTTCGTCTTGCTTCGATTTTTGAAGAGAGCGCACATTAATACAGATTAACCTCAAAGGGAAAAAGAGAATTAGGTTGCAAAGCACCAGAAAAGTACGGTTATCCGCGCTTGGTTTGACTTGGTTAAACGTGACTTCAAATTTCCGTAAAATGTAACAGGCGTGTCGTCATGGCAACCAGGAAGGTGACACACTGAAAAGCACACGCGTACCTAAGAAGGATTTTCCGATTTCAATGAGTTTTGTTCACGTGCCTCTGGAGCCACTATTATTGCTTGGGGTGAAAGGAAATAAGTTGGAAGGGGGAAAAACTATCGAAGAAAATAATTGTGACAAAAAGGACGTTAATAATTACTGTCGAGGTCAATTAGAAAAGGAATTTATATATAAAGATCACCCTTAAATAATATGGCATTTCAAACATTATTATTATTGTCAAACCTGCATTTTTAATGCCGTCCTTTCCAAGCCCCCTCCCACTGTATTGATCATTCCACTTCAAAAGCGCAGAACTCAGACCAATAAGAATGATGCAACTTATTAGGGGTGGAGCCAAAGTCATATAAAGGGTACACAAGATCCGGGCAGTAAAGTCACGGAATTTGAATATGGACAGTGAATGTTTCATCCACAAACAAAACATCAACTTAAAGAAATCAGAGTTTGTGTAAACAAAAATTAAGTCACTAAATCAGGTCCACTAATTAAAAAAAAGAAGTCTTCTTTTTAAAGTGAACAAGAAAATTGGGATCCCAGGTTCAATTCTCGCCCCAGTAATTTTTGGTTCAAAGTCGTACGGAATAAAATGTTTTATAAAATATAAGAGGGAATTGTGTAGTTACGGGCCCTGATCCCTGTAAGAGTACAAAATCCACTTTTAGGTTATTGGACTTGCAACAGTTACAGGGTGTCGTGGATAGAGGGTAGATTTCTGTTTTTTAAAGGAATTTTTGGGGTAAAACGATGATGATGGCAACAAAACGGAACACGAAAATGAAGATGGCGATACCGCGACGCTCAGTGAAACCTGCCTTGATGCGCATGACATCAACTGTAAAACGCGAAAGAAAATCGCATTTTCTACCGCAAGAAACTGTTCGAAATTACAACAAAAATCGTATCATTGGAACTAACAGAAGTCTGCTTTAGTTTGAAAAGGTCATTTTGGAATAATGAAAAAAAAAACCTGACTTGACCGAAACTAAAGAGGGGCCCGTAATTGCACAATAGCTATTTTGTTTAAAGTCAGTTTACCTTTGTGGTTTATTTGACACATTGTTTTCTACAAATCCTTTCTTGACATAACTGGTTTTTGACCTTGAAGTAAATTCAGTCCAGCTACAACTAAGGACTATTAATGTGGGGAAACATCTGTCATCAGTCCTGTCCGCTTCAAAAGAAAATTGTTTTTGGAGCATGAAGCATGACTGTTGGTGAAAATTTCCGCTCACCAAATTTGACACAATAATTTGCGCTCGATGCCAAAACCCAGGGACTTCAAAAAAATTACAAGTTTCGATTTCATCTTTATCTGAGTGAAGAGTTCTTCCCGCCAAAAAGGTCAGACCCTACCTTTCTTCCCCTCCCTGCGTCTATCTTTACGTTCCCGGTCCTTCTTCCCCGCCGTAACCATGGCAACGCAAATTGCCAGCACCATGAGTAGGAGTAGGAGTTTCCTCATGTTTTCCTGTTTTTCCAATTTCCTGCAGATTTGCAGACAGCTGTTGAAACCATCAATCAATTAAAACAAATGTCGATTATTAATTGATAACATAGAGTTATACTCATACACTCTTAAAAGTCAGCTGCACTAAATTTAACTTGCGAAATGATTGCAGCTGAATACAAGATATTATGTTAGACTGTTTTCCAGTCGAACCTAACTATTACAGTTTTTGCTTTACGTGTGCATAGCGGGTTATGAAGGCAGGATCATTTGCATTTATCCCAAAGTAACCTACCGAATTATAATCAAAAAGCTTACTTGGTTTAAAGATGGTACTGGTGCTAAACACCCCGTGAAATTATTCCGTCTGGCTTGCTGTCATTTAGAAGAAATCAAGAAATGTAGGTGATTTCCAATGATAAGTCCATTGCCTGATTTTTGGAAATACAGAGTGCTATTGATAAAATCGTGTTTCGTGATCAAAAGGTTGTGCCTGCTTTTTTACTGCTTCTCATAAAGTGTAATATCCACTGAGCTGAAACTTCAACAGGTTAGGTTTTGAATACTCTTCTTTGGATTTTGAGTGGGGTTATTACTGGAAACGAACAAAATGCATGAAAAGCAAATACTCCTATAATTATGCCTTTAACTTTCATCATTTTTTATTAAAGTCAAAGTTAAGAAAAAATTTGAAATTTCTTTAACAAGTGTGCACAATGAAAATTGTGGAATCAGGAAAAAAACATGACGTCACAATGTACGATTTGTTTAGAGTATTGAGTATATCCAAGTTTTGTTCATCAAGGCGCCCTCTGCATGTGCTCATGAGTAAGAGCCATTGATTATAATTGTAAGATTGTCAACAAGTTAATTATTGCCCAAGATGCTGACATATTCTGTCCAGCAAAATTTGAAATCATACCAACAATATACCAAGACCTCGAATCGTTTTGTTTACAGGTATACAAGTATACTTCAAGGCCCAAACAATGCAAAAGGGGCTGTCAAACATTGAAAAATGTTAGGAATAATTCTTGCAGAAATAAAACGGAACAGCTAAAATAAAACCAAAATTCACTTTTACTTTCAATAAAAAAGCATTTTACGGCTTCAATTGAAAATTAAAATAAAAAAATTACTTTTGATTTTAATGATGGTAACAATTAGCCTATGTTCAACCGGTATTTCAACTTTATATTTGTGACACTGAAAAAAAAACTAAATAAGAAAGGGTTGTTTTTCAAATTTTAGGTCAAATCTGTCAAGAAATCCACGGCCTGAAGTTGTTGGTTTTGGTTCCTCTGTTGAAATTGGAACTGAAACAGTCGCATAATGAAAGGAAATGGATTCTTCCTGAGCCGTCTGATGTGGTAGATACGAGCGGCTAGACGTTGAGATTAAGCCGCTAGACATGGTATATCTTTATTAAAACCATTCTCCAATGGACATGACGCAGTGGCAAGGGCACTAGCCCTGGAAAAAAAACACTCCACACTTTAATGTTTAAAAGCCGGATTATTGAGAAAAAACTGCAAAAGCAAAAAACGAAAGCAACAAAAACCCAACGGTGGAGGGGGGGGGGGGGCAACGGGGGCCATGCCCCCACCCACCTAAAAAAAACGAACCTAATCTTTTTTTTTTAAAGTGACGTCGAGAAAAAGGCAGCCACTGCGTACAACACCCACAATACTCAACAAAAGCAAATTTGGGGCGGAAAATTTTTGGACCTACTTTTTCGGGGAACAATTTTTTTTTTTGGCCCCCCCAAAATTGCGTTCTGGATCCGGCCTTGCAAACCCCAACCTTTTACCACCATCCATAATATAAAACTGACCACCGAAAAGAAATAGTAATGACTTTGAATGCAAATTAAATGTGAATGTCATGAAAACTTGTGCTCATCTCTGCATGCTAGGTGCTAAATGTTTGCAAGTTTGATGGGATTTTTCCTTAATTAAAAGTCCTCCTATCTCGATAAAGAGTAAATATGATTTGTTAGCTGTAACTAAAAATCGAGAGTAAAACTGTCATTTAAAAACCAAATTTTGATACCAGTTGCTTGTACTAGTACTATATCGGCAATTCATATACCGCGCTCAGTTTTTATGGAAATGCTATGAACATAAATTGCGGTCTGTCATGGTCATACTACTGTTCGAAGTCTCAACACCCATCCTAGAAACTTTTTATAATTCTATGTACAGCCACTATATGGTTTCAAACTCTAAAAAGTCCATTTTGTTTATCATTAAACATATTAACCCAGGAAACGGCAATGACATTTCACCGGAATAACAAAACTAAGCAAGAAAACAACAAACGGGTACAGAGAACAGTAGAGAACATTCCAACGATGCATCTTTTCTAAAAAATAACACAAAAACGCGAAGACTACCAGAAATACGTGACCGAAACGTCGCTCATGGTGCTCCAAGAAGACAACATTTTTTCGGCAAGAAACGCGACGTAAACTTGATAAATGAAGATAAAATATTGAATATATATTCCGAACCGCATGCCCTGCAATCTTGAGCACATACACATACCATCAGGGAAAAGCCAGGAATAGAAAAGTCCTACTAAAAATCGTTTTAGAAGAAGACTTACCTTTTTCGAGATATTCCGAGTCAAAATTGGAGTAGCTGTTTTCCGATCAGTGAAGTGAACGTCCGCGTACTTCGACGACACGTAGATAAATAAACGCCAACTGTCGATCAAAACCACCCAATCACAATCCAACAACAATACAACTGAACCCAATATTGACTGAAGCAAGTGAGAAAAAAATGAGGGCTCAATCTCAATTTCCACCTAACTTTTATGTGTCCCGAAACGGTGGTGAGTTTTTTATATTTAGGTAAAAAGGTGGTTGGATTTGTTAGCCGCCCGCGGCGCGGGGTCGCTGGACCGTGTTTTGACAGTTGGTTCCTGGGGGACACAAGCGCCTCACCACGGCACTGCCACGACGCACAATGCCGCTCCGGGGTGAATGTCTCTCGGACTTTGCCGACTAACACAAAAAACACTGAAAGCAGGCCAATACCCTCCAGTTGCACTGTGACGACTGAAGTTCCAACCCCCGGCTCACGCACGGCGCAGAAATAAAAAGGCTCTTTCCTCCATCCAACTCGAGCTCAGCCCCGTGGAGACTTCCACCCACTACTGTCACTCATTCATCATAGGCTTGGATTTCTCAAGTCAGCGCTGTGTCTGTAGAAGTCCCACACATCCAATAGGGGAATTGCAGCGGATACGCTTACACACGATGCACGAGTTCCTATTGTTTGCGCATTACTCCCCAACTTTTCCTAAAAAGATACTTTTGGTATTTTTAACAGAGACTCAGCGAAAAAAGTGCGGGGGCACCGAACGCTCAATGTTCATTTTCCGGAGTGGTTTTTACCGCACAGCTTTGAACAAAACAAATAGCAACTTTCCCTCCTTAAAGAAAAATCTTAAGTAAACATTTCCAACCTCCGGTTTTGATGTAAGCACAATACCCACTCGCCAGGGACGTGAGTTATTGTTCACCGTGATCTTTCATGACATGACGGGGGCTCTCGTGGGGTTTGCCCCCGCGGAGCCGACCTGACGCCGCACGCTAAAGTCAGGCCGTCCAATGGCAGCGTTAGACGGGGCCGCGAGCTAGTTTGAAACACGGTGTAACTCACTTGTTCTTTGCATTCACTGATGACCCGGAGTAGCCGAAGGGCCGTGCCGTTACATAGATTATCGTAGGCTTATCCAGTCAATCACTTGCTCTCCCGGCAGCAATCATGCTCTAAAAACTGTCTCTCTTTTTCCAAAAGGTGAAATTATTCCACCCTTTCTTTCCCTCAGGTCAAACAATCATACATGTAAGACCTTCCTCCCGAAACAAAACAAGAAAATGGCCACATCTCCTTGCAAACTACTCCAGCCTAAACGATTGAATGTTTAGTGCGAGACAGTAAAATATTCATTTTGTTGTAAATATTGTAGCTCAGAATCTACTTCATAACTTCCCCTTCAACAGGTTCCGCCTCACGCCTCCAATCTTAAAGGGCTCATGAAGTGAATATTTCTGAGGAACATTCTTTGTGCTACCTTCAAATCCTCTTAAGTGTATGGAAACTAATTGGTATTCCTTTGAGATTAACTTTGTTGGAAAGTGCACATCTGTAAACATTTAAAATTGTCCATGCTTTTCCGGACAACTGAGGGCGCTGTTGTCGTGATGTCATTCTTGGGAGACACTGCTCATATTAGGTGTTTTTCTGTTGAAATAGTAAACCAAAAAAATGCTCATTGAAAACATTATTTTGTGAGAAAAGTTTGCTCATTGGCTTACCGCCATGAACTGACACAACAACGAATCACCAAAGAAAAGAAAGTTTGCGACAGTGAAATATCCAACATTTTGGCCACTTTTTGTGCATAAACTAATTGCAACATTGAGGTTTCTGCCTTAATGTTGCAATTAGTTTATGGAAATTTTCATTAGCATTAAAACCATAAAGGCACCAAATTAAACTACCCTTGAAAATGGCAAAACGAAAATTGAAAACAAGGTTAAAGGGACACAAAGGTGCATTTTCAAGAATTGCATTAAAAGAGTTACATTTCATGGGGCCTTTAATGTGAATTGTTAAAAAGTGAGAATGAGATACAATTAATGTAAGAGCTAAATAAATGTCCTTTGATTTGATTACAAGTGAAATATTAATTATTGACAAATTTACAAATAATGATTAATCGTTCTTTTGCGCAAAATTCATGCATATAGTTCCTGCACTGCGTCCTTATTGTCAATCGGTGAAAGAGCCATGTCTGCTGCTGGTCGTCCAAGCCTGGAAGAAGGTCGTAAGGCCAAAATATGGGTCAAAGGGCCAAATTCGGGTTTTTCGGGCTATCGATAAAGCTTGGAAATATCTTTCATTCGATGTGCATATTGTCCCAAGTGGCTACGTCATTCTGACGTAATTAACAGTAAACAAAAGACGGAAGGAGGTTTTTCATTATTTGTGCCCGGCAAAAGGTCGTAAGCATGTAATCATAATGAAACAAAAATGTTCCAAGGCCCCTAATGTCCAAGGGCGGATCCAGAACACAATTTTTGGGGGGCCCAAAAAATTTTTGGTCCCCCCAAAAAGTGGGTCAAAAAATTACGGAGTGGGGTTCGGGGCCCGCTTAAGGGCCCCGAAAAATTTTGGATTCTAGATGCTCTGTGGTGCGATCTGAGGCAATTTCTGACCACTTTCACCAATGTTTTTTGAGGAAAAAATGGTGGTGTACTCATTGCCTGCCCTTATTGCGACGTCACATAAAAAAAAAAAAAAATTGGTTTGGTTTTTTTTTTGGGGGGGGGGGCATGGCCCCCTTTGCCCCCCCCCCCGGATCCGCCCTTGCTAATGTCCCCCTTAAATGGGTGCGCAAAGCAAAGCCATGCTTGTTCCGGCAAAAGGAAGTTAACACGCCGCTGGCGCACGTTTAATGCAGGGGGATTCATGTTCAAGGCAGATGGAGTTCCCAGTAAAAGGACGTAAGCAGAAAAATCTAAATAACTTTAAAATGAATGATAGTTTTGAAATAAAAATGCACATTATAATTTTAGTTATTAACGACTTTCATGAGCCCAAATTTCAGCCTGATGTGTTTTTTTTCATTTAGAAATGGGAGAACAAAACATTTTAACTCGATTATCTCCAAAAGTGCTTTTTGCTTGCCTGGGCTGCTTATGTCCTTTTCCTTGGCACACAATGTACTCTTCGACAGATATACCGATTGGAATTATGGTAAAGTGCATTGCCCAAGGACGCAAGCACGTCATCACTGGCTGTGGTTCATGATGGAAAAATGATGGCGCTATCCCACTCGGTGACACTTCGATTCTCGTTACTTGCAGAGCCTAAAATCGAAATGGTTGCAGTATCGATTTTAAGGCTGACGGGACACGCCAACACTTCTACCAGGAAGGCCCCCTTCAATGGCGAAAGCATTGTGCTAGCTATTGTTCAGATAATCAGTTACGGGGCAGTTGCTTTGTACAATAGCGTACGCAATGCTTTCGCCATTGAAAGGGGGCTCGTAGGTGTGTATACGTGCCCGGATCACGTGCCCAAATTCGTCGCTAGTTATTTCACGTTCATGTTCGATTTCCTATTTGAACAGCATATGAGATAAATTAGGGCGAGTTAAAAGGTCCCAACGATGATTTTTTTTCTAAGAAGCTCATTTTGTGTAACTTTCTACTCCTCTTGAATGTATGAAAACTATTTGACACCCCAGTTTGGTTAATTTTATAGAAAAGTGCACTTCTTTAAACATTAACAATTGTCAATGCTTTCCAGACAGCTGAGGGCTCTGTTGCTGTGATGCACAGTGTGATGTCATTTCAGGAAGACACAGTTCAGTTTAGGGGTTTTCTGTTCAAATTGTGAACCCAAAATTGTGCTCATTGAAAACATTTGTGCGAAAAGTTTGCTCATTGGCTCACTGCCATGTACGGACACAACAACGAATCACCAAAGAAAAGAAAATTTACCACAGCAAAATATGCAGAATTTTGGCACCTTTTGGTGCTGAAATAGCTGTAACATTGAGGTTTCTGGCTGAGATGACATCACACTTTTGCTTATGAATATGGAAATGTGCATTAGCATAAAAACAAAAAAGGGATCAAAATAGTCTTGAAACTGGCAAAACGAAAAATTAAAAATAAGATTACATGGGACACAACGGTGCATTTTTAAGGATTGCATTACAATAATATTGCATGGGCTCTTTTGGCTGATACTCTTTAACATTATCCACATTGTGAAATACAAACATTGGTCTTCAATACGCAACAATTAGGCACATATTTCTTTTAAGTAATTTAGAAGTAAAAAATGTCAAATCTCGATTGTATTGTTGCATGTTTGATACATATATTAAGAGCACTACTTTTTTCAAATAGTTTATCAGAAGATAGCGTCACATTTCGATTCTGTTTTCAACTTGCAGTATTTGACAGATTTAACTAAGCATAGCGCAACATAAGGCTACTGTTTTTCTCCATGGACTTTTGAAATTCACGTCTTGACGTTACATCTCGATTTTCCTTCATACAGATTTCGACAGTTTTTGTATATTATTCTTGTTTATTGTTATTTTCTAGTGGAGAATTGACAAATTTTCATGGGCGGTTTAGCAGCAGCTTTCATTCCCTGACCACCACTAGTGATGTCGTGCACCGTGTTGTACCCCTGATGAGCGCGCCGGGGCAGCCTCGGTTCCCCGGCCCCCGGTGCGGTCGCGTTGACTCTGGTCGGCTGGCCAGCGCACACCGGTAGAGCATCCGTCGAGGAGAAGTTGACTTTGATGGGCAATCCATAGCACTGCTCAATCACATCGATGCCGGGACAGCTCCACGTCCCAGCGAAGTACAAGAAGTGGGTGTTGTTTAAACGGGTCACGCAACTCACGGTCAAGTTATACACCCAAACGTGTTCATCTCTGGTATCCAAGGAAACGCGTAAACGATAGTCGTCTACGAAGAGATTGGTGAAGTCGGCTATCAGATTATCGGGAAAGTACATCCCACCAAGGAGTTGCAAATCCTGGGGTTTACAGGTCTGGTTCCCCACGGTCACGTTGAAGACAGTCACGAGAGTCACATCCTCGCCCTCGTTCACCATATCAGGCACCATGGTAGTTACCACGGGGACTTCATCCGGTTGTGACTGGCAATTCACGAGGGTCAACCCCGTGCAAAGGAGGAGTGCGGCGAAACTCAAGATCATCTTCGAGTCCATGATGCAACCATACAGCTTTTTTCCTTGCTACAAACAAACTGAAGAGTAATGTCCAGATTGATCACAGCTAAAGCACAAAACCCTTATCTTTTTATTTAGCTTGTGACACGCCAGTCGAACTTGTAGAGTTTCAATAATAACTGCTACCTCGTTTGATATTGACTTTAAACCCTCGTGGTCTCTAAACCTCAAATAAATTTTAATCAACACAATAATGTTTGAAATTTGCTTTTCTTGTTATGTCTATTGACTCTGTTTTTCTTGCCACTTCACCTTTAGCCCGCTGATTATTTAGGCCGAGTAAAACAAACAAATAGTTTCTCGTCCGGGCTTTTTGAAAAAAATGAAGGAGGCGGCCCCTTCTTTGGACGGATTCTTCCATTTTTGTTGACTCTTTTGCTGATACAAAATTGTGTCCAAAGGAGCTGCCACCCTTTCTACATAGCAACAATTTTTGTTGAAAACAAATAAAAAGACAAGATACTTACAATATTTACAAACTAAACTGCAAATGTATAATTAAAAAAGGGGCGGGCGTGAAAGAAAAAATCCTTTTTTTCTACAACCAAGTTTAGTCAATTACCATAATGCGCATGCGTCAGTTGATAATGGAGTGTTCTCAGACTTAGGCTGCATCCGAATCAACTGCCTAGAGCTAGGTCTAGGTCTGTGCCCTTTGAAAATACGCGGAGACGCGCTGACAATAGACGTAGCCGTAGCTCTGGAAGCCCGTTTCGGACACGGCCTATTAACGCCCCTTAAACAATAGAGCGCTTGCAGACGCGTTCGATAATTGACGCGCGAAGGAGTGCGACGCCATGTTGTGGGACAAAATGTGCATGGATAGATATACGCTTGTCCCACAACATGGCGTCGCGCGCCTTCGCGCGTCGATTATCGAACGCGTCTGCAAGCGGTCTATAGACCGATCCTGTAAGCACCGTCCCATGGTGCTCTGACCAATCACAGCCGTGATTTAGGTCCGACGTGCGTGCACTAAAGTCCGACATGCGTGCACGCGGTACGCGCATATGATGCGCGCGGAAGGAAAATGCAGCGTGGCATTGGAGAGGAGCGCTTGTTAATTATTTGCCCAGTGCGCTGTGGGCGGTCCATTCTCCAGAGCCATGGAATAGAAACAAAACTTGGGTGAATTTTATTTTATCGATCAGTAGAACTTGGTTAAACACAATTTGGGAAAGAAAATTCACTTGGGGGGGGGGGGAGGGGGAATGAAAATGTGAAATTTCGCAACCTGCCGCTGCAGCATAGCATGCACGCCACAGTGAAACCACGCTATCGGCCGTGAAATATACACTCTGAGTTGTTTCAAATCATAGACATATAATTAATGCACCACGTCAAATGTTTCACGCCTACATATTGCGGTCAATGACTTTACTAGAGCCTGCAGAAAAAACAATTGCGGGCGGTAAAAAGGAAGCGGGCACGGACGAGAAACTGGTTCATTGTTCTGCGTTATACCCGCATGGTCCGATGACTGAGCACAGAACTTGAACATTGATCGTCTCAAAGTAAGGTTCATGGTCGATTATTGAGCAATCAGGGGGTAATATGAACGATATTGATTATTGTGACACGCCCCCTAATCTAAGTCTGAGTATCACCTGTTATCCACGGAGCCAATTCTAGCCTTTCGCCAAGGCAATCGTGGCTTAACTTGCCGGCATAAGACAAAGCGGCGAAACCGTGTTAGAAAACACTGCATTGTAATTTTAATTTAAGGGGAAAAGAGAACGAGAAGCTATGTCTTGCAATGATTCAATTCAAAGGAGGGAATTATTCATGAATTGGCCCCAACCCTCCCTGGGGAAAGAAAATTCCCGTACCGGAGCACCGGCGGGTTGAAATCGCTGTATATACCGAGCCAACATCTCTACTACGAACAGTTTCTGCTGAATGAAAGCCTACTCAGTGCCCCGCCCCTAAAAACAACCCTAGCAACAGGACCCTCAAACAATATCAATCGATTTGTAGGCCTGATGAAACGAATCAAACGAATACCAAAACAATACCAGTCGTTTAAACGAGACTTCTTAGGCATAGCCCGCGGGGAGGGGGGTGGGTGAGGGGGTATTTACCCCCCCCTCCATATTTGGTAAAGGCTGCCCTTTTCCTTTCAAATGGCCATTTTTTTTCACCAGCGCTTACCACCCGCCCCCCAATATTTTGTAAAGAGTGCACTTTTTTTTAACAAGTGCCCTTTTTTTCTGAACAAGTGCCCTTTTCAAAAAGAAGTCGTGCCCATTTTTTGTCCCATCGGCCGGTCCGGGTTCCTTTTTTTTTTTTTAAATTTCGCGCATGTATCTTCCTGAAAAGCATATTGTCCATCAGCGTGTACAATCATCGGTTTTAAACAGCGCCCCCATCGACAGATGGTACCATTTGATTTTACGGAGGCCAAGTGTCCTGAGAAAAAACAACAACCTTGTCTATATTTCAGCACGGATGTGCAAGTGCCCTTTTCAAGAAATTGTTACCCCCTTCCCCCGCCCACCAATAAAAAAAGACCATGCTATGTCACTGACTAGTCCTTAATATTTAACACAAAAGTCCCTAAGAAATAATATCAACCGATTAAAAGACATTTTAATTTGTTACGAGTATCGTCCAAATATTTTTGCATTATTTTCTTCAAAAGTGCCAGTCAATTTGGAGAAACTAAAAGGGGAAAAGTCAAGACACTAAAAGTGTCTATCTTCAATGAAACTTCGGTATTCAACATTGTAACCGCTATCTTACACAGTAGTGAATGCGGCAAACAGCCACGTGATTGGAAGCTAAAAGTATCGTTAATTTGCGGGGAAAAAATGAGGGACTCACTTTTTCCCCAAGAACGGTTCGATCGAGTGCTTTGTTTTCATTTTATTGGATCTCAGTGGTGGCGCCCTTCACGTTTACCGTAGCTCGTCGACCTCATGGTCGACCTTTAAATTAGACTGATGCCCTCCTGTCAATCACTGTCACTGCCATACGAGGAAGCGTAATAATTCCTTCCAGGTGCTCCGGTGTACCAGACTGCGCCGACATGTCCGATAAACTACCAGCGGAAACCACGGACACAGTTCTGATACGATTGGGCCACAAAGACGCCAATAACTCGCCTCGAAATTCCTCCAAAATGGTCTCCCTAACTCAGAGCCTACTCAGGCATTTGACGGCCCCGGATCTGCTCTCTCAAAGCCAGTTGAAACGGTTGAAGGAACATAAATACTCGGCGGAAGGGACGTCGTTGTTCGATGCTCCGATGCAGGTTTTTTGGCGATGGTTGATCGAGCAGATTCCGAAGACCGTAGCGCCCAACACCATCACTATCGCGGGGCTAGCGTTGAATATTCTCGGCGCTGTCATTCTCATGCTGTTCAGTCCAACTGCTACGGAACCGGTAAGTATCATTTTTTAGTGGAGAGACACAATGTTAAAGACTGATCTTTCGTCTACCCCCATGCACAGAATGGAGAAGTCAGAACTGGTGCTAAAAAATGGCAGTGAAGCCTTGATCCTCCTATTTCTGCGCAGATATTAAACTGATAAGGCTTTGCAGCCAGTACTTAAAAATAGCAAACCAACTACTCTTTTCCTCAACAAACTTATACTGTTGACTTATGATCATCCACTGTACCGATTAAAAAGCGACATCTCTTTATTTCTGGTAGCAAGCGGGGAATTCCAAAGCGTGCAGTTTTGGTGTTGTAGAAAAAAATCCTGCCTAATTCTATGCAGGGGACGCTTCATAAAAAAATCTGTGCTGTGCGGGCCATGTAACTCAATAACATTTTTTTTACGCAGTGGCTATTGTTACGGCAGCCGTAATGCATTTCCCATTTTCTATCGTTACGGTAGACTGCAACCTGGCAACTTTTATAAAAAAACATGACAAGAAAATATAAAATTAGAAGGAAAAAAGTGAATTTGAACTTTATGAAATTCGGACTTTATTTCCCTTTAAAAAAAAATCCTCCAAAGCCTCAGGTTAGAAAAGGAAAAAAATTCGAGTGCAAAACTGAGATCCGAACCCGCAACCTCGCGGTGCAAAATCCTACCCTCTATCGGCTGAGCTGGCGCACTGCTCGATAAAACGTGTGGAAACAAATAATTATATACCTGCGTGCATACCAAAAAAATATCGTAGAGGGCGCTAAACAACGAGTGCCGTAACGATAGCCACTTCGTTTTTTTTAATAACTTAGACTTCTTGGCTTTAGGAAAATATATTTCCTTGAACTTTTCAAACATATTTTCTGTCTTTTCCTTTCTTTTTTCAATGTCAGTACACTTTTCGTATTTTCAAGATTATATTTGACAATAGGCCCCTATCTTAATTTTGGTAATTGGTACAAAGGGCTATAATTTACATATTTACATAAATACTATGAAATGTAGATCCCAGTAATATTGTTATTCTGATCATCACAATCAACAGACAGTTTTCAAGATGTCGGATTTTGAAACTGATGACAAAAAATTCAAAAATAATATAAGAAATGTGTCTTCTTGGTTGCACCATAAGTTTGACACCCTTGTAGAATAGAAACTGCAAAGTCTTACCTATGATATATTAACTAAAATACTGACGACAGTTGGAGACCGGAATCATCTGCCTGCATTTGTAGTTAGTAATTAGCTGTAAAAAGCCTACTGCCTAGTATTCTGATAACACTCAGGAGACCTTGAAAAAGTAACCCAAGCTACTGTTTACTTAAGAGCTGAACAGTGGAATTGTTAGGCAACTAACTAACTGTAGTGCCAGTGTTTACATTGTGAGCAGGATGCTATCCTCTACCATGACAAGGTTATGGCTTGTGATCACTGTCATGAGGACAAGGCTGTTTGGGGGAGGATAGAATTGTTTGCATTGTTACATAATACTGGATTAGGCCAGGGGCCAGTTGACAGCACAGTGGTTTAGCCATAACCCTGCTAACAGAAAGCAACAGAAAGCAACAACAAAGGCAACTCAAGTCCTCCTGCTTATTGCATCTTGTTGCATTTAGCAGGGTAACCACTGATAGTGCCAAGGCAATACAACTTAATCCACTGTTTCAGTTTGTTGCATTTAGCAGGGTAAACTACTTGGTGCAAGGGCTGGTATACACTGGGTTCACTGCACAATGCAACGGAGTCCACTATTGCATTTGGTTGCATTTAGCAGGGTAACTGCTCATAGTGCCAAGGCGATACAACAGAATCCACTGTTGCAGTTTGTTGCATTTAGCAGGGTAAACTGCTTGGTACCAAGGCTGGTGTATACTGGGTTCACTTCACAATGCGAGGAATCCACTGTTGCATTGGGTTGCATTGAGCAGGGTCACCATTGTGAGAATACTGGAACGGAGTCCATATACTGAGTGTATGCTGTCATGCAGTTCCTTTGGTTCAGTTGCAGATGTAGAATCTGTAAAAGAGGTGTGGATTAGGCCCAAAAAAAAGTCTCCGGTTTCTGGTATGCGCGCGTCGCCGTAGCCATGCGCGTCGGCAAAATGAAAAAGTTTTTTTTTTAATGAAAGATGATGTCTCAAAACCGCCAAACTCACTGGTTTGACTGGAATCCTGCTGCTGCACATTTTAATGTGTTGTTAGATTGGGTTATGGTCGAGAATAAGCTTTATGTGGCCTCTCTGGACTCCCATATATTTGCACTAGGTTTAGTCGGACACCATTTGCAGTCATCAGCCGACATTTAAAGCAAAAAAATCAGGTAAAAAAAAAAAAAAGCCGCGTCGCCGCACCACTTTTTGGGCAAGCTCGATACCAGAAACCGGAGACTTTTTTTTTTTGGCCTTAGCTGTGTAGTGTCCAATATTTTTTTGGCTGAAAACTGACGCAACAAATAGAGATTCACAATATTTTATGCTTTTGTTTCAAGAAACTCAAAGAAGTTTGGGATTTTTTTTTACGGTAATAAATGTTGGCCAGACTGAAGTGGGGGGGGGGGGGTGGTAGCCACAAGTACCCACAGAACTCCACCCTTGGCATTGCAACAGAATTTAAAATTTATTAAAATTTTTTTGAAAACTGCATGTAATGATCAGGTTGCACAATTCTTGGCCAACTACTTTCAAACATGCGTTGTATCATGTGTTCCATTTGTTACAACCTGTTGAGTTTTCATTCTCAGGCACCCAGCTGGGCCTACTTGACTGCAGCCGTGACGTTGTTTATTTATCAAGCTCTTGATGCAGTTGACGGCAAACAGGCGCGACGTACGCAGACGAGTACTCCCATGGGGGAGCTCTTTGATCATGGATGTGACTCCGTCTCCATAGGTGCGGCATTTTCTAATATTATGATTTCACTCACGATTGATGAAAACTTTTATACATACGTGTACTTGTTAAAGTGACAGTTTCAGACATGGCTTTAGGTTGTTGAGATGCAAACACCAAAAATGTATTGAATTAAGTCATTGAGCGAGTTTGGTAATTCAACTTTGATGTGCACAATGATATGCATCATGGGTCATTCAGGATAATCGAATGCTCATCAAAGGCAAATGAATGCACAGGGAGGTGGGCGCATGATGCTCAAAGGCAAATGAACGCACAGGGAGGTGGGCGCATGATGCTCAAAGGCAAATGAATGCACATGGAGGTGGGCGCATGATGCTCAAAGGCAAATGAATGCACAGGGAGGTGGGCGCATGATGCTCATAGGCAAATGAATGCACAGGGAGGTGGGCGCATGATGCTCAAAGGCAAATGAATGCACAGGGAGGTGGGCGCATGATGCTCATAGGCAAATGAATGCACAGGGAGGTGGGCGCATGATGCTCATAGGCAAATGAATGCACAGGGAGGTGGGCGCATGATGCTCATAGGCAAATGAATGCACAGGGAGGTGGGCGCATGATGCTCAAAGGCAAATGAATGCACAGGGAGGTGGGCGCATGATGCTCAAAGGCAAATGAATGCACAGGGAGGTGGGCGCATGATGCTCAAAGGCAAATGAATGCACAGGGAGGTGGGCGCATGATGCTCATAGGCAAATGAATGCACAGGGAGGTGGGCGCATGATGCTCAAAGGCAAATGAATGCACAGGGAGGTGGGCGCATGATGCTCAAAGGCAAATGAATGCACAGGGAGGTGGGCGCATGATGCTCAAAGGCAAATGAATGCACAGGGAGGTGGGCGCATGATGCTCAAAGGCAAATGAATGCACAGGGAGGTGGGCGCATGATGCTCATAGGCAAATGAATGCACAGGGAGGTGGGCGCATGATTCTCATATATGTGTTAATTAGAGCAGAATGGGCGTTCGCGTAACACCGCGTAACATCACGTCAGCGATTTTATCCAGAATGACCTTTGACCTGGACTACTTCATTGAAATACAGAACTGGCTTATATAGGCCTACTACGTCTATTCTTTGCTCTCTTAGGCCAAAAAAAAAAGTCTCCGAGTCCGGTTTCTGGTATGGAGCTTGCCAAAAAGTGGTGCGGCGACGCGGCTTTTTTTTTTTTACCTGATTTTTTTGCTTCAAATGTCGGCTGATGACTGCAAATGGTGCCAGACTAAACTTAGTGCAAATATATGGGAGTCCAGAGAGGCCACATAAAGCTTATTCTCGACCATAACCCAATCTAAAAACACGTTAAAATTGTGCAGCAGCAGGATTCCAGTCAAACCAGTGAGTTTGGCGGTTTTGAGACATCATCTTTCATTGAAATTTTTTTTTTTTCATTTTGCCGACGCGCATGGCTACGGCGACGCTTGCGCATACCAGGAACCAGAGACTTTTTTTTTGTGGCCTTAACCATATATTTTTATAGCATTTATAATGGTAACATTCAAAATGGTTGCTTTTTTTCCTTTCGCTAAGTGTTTGTGTCCATCGAGTTCAGCATTTCCACACAGCTTGGCGAATGGCCAGAACTGTTCTTCGTCACAACGGTCCTGTCCATCTTGATGTTCTACAGCGCCCACTGGCAGACTTACGTCTCGGGAACCCTGCACTTTGGAAAGTAGGGCCGCATCTGAATCACCGGGCTCCGACTGGGAATAACACATGCACCAGTGGAAGCCACTGATAGATTCCTGTGTTATTTTCACCCGTAGCCGTGCAATTTGGATACAGTGCTAAAACACAGTGAATTCTTAATTGGGCATAATTCTGAATTGGGCATGTTTCTGATTCGGGCATGTTCTCAATTGGCAAAGTTTTAATCTGGTAGATTGGTTTAAATTGGGCGTTGATACTTGGGCGCTCCTCAGAACTTCTTATCCATTCTTAGTCGACTCTCTTCCTGTCCATCAAATAGTGCACATTATACAACACCCGAATAAATCCCAGTCATCTGATTGGTGGATCGTTGATCACATGTCATTGAATTATTCGTACCAACGCACGGCGCGCGTGTGGCGCGCAGCGCACAGTGCAATGGAAGTTCTATTGCACTGTAAATAGAACTTCCATTGCACGGTGTCGCTGATGCTGGTGGTGGCGCTGTTTTAAATCGAGATGAATTGAATATGATTGTTCTTAACCTGTCGAACAGTTTGCATTAATATAGATATGATGAACTTGTCGCACTTTTAAACAGTTTTTAACCTGAATAAATTGCCTATTAAAAGTCAACCAATCAGATGACAAGGATTTATTCAGGTGTTATATAAAACAAATAATAAATGTTTCACGTTCGTGCAATAGAAAGAATAATTTCATTCGGTGACAAATGACTCGTTCCATTCCACTCGGCTTCGCCTCGTGGAATGGAACATTTCATCTGTCACCTCATGAAATTATTCTTACCATTGCACTCACAAACATTCATTATTTGTATAATAATAATACACGTTTGCAAAGTTCGTTGACAAGCATTGAGAGAAATGTATGCAACCAGAGGTGGGAGTGGCTTAGAACAAATTTGGAACGGTCCATTGTAAACCCCCTCTCAATTGATGTACCCCCTCCCTGTAAATACCCTCCACTATTGAAGATATTAATAACGGGAAGTACTTTGTTTTCCCAGGTTTGATGTAACAGAATCACAGCTGACACTCGTAGCAATCTTCAGTCTTTCGGCGTTTTTCGGCCCACAGATATGGGCTTACAAGGTAAGTGTTGTTGGCCAGTGCACATGATAAGTCAATCACAAGCCATCACAAGCCAATCACAAGCCATCACAAGCAAATCACAGGTCAATCACAAGTCACTCACAAGTCAGTCACAATCCAATCACAAGTCGACCAAACGCCAACCACAAATCACTCACAAGGCTATCACAAGTCTATTACAAGTCAATCACAAGCCATCACAAGCCTATCACAAGCAAATCACGGGTCAATCACAAGTCACTCACAATCCAGTTACAAGACTTAGACTCCAAAGTTAATTACAAGTCAATCATAAGTCATTAGAATCAGTCACAAGTCAATCACAAGTTGACCAAACGTCAACCACAAATCACTCACAAGGTTATCACAAGTCAATCACAAGCCATCACAAGCCATCACAAGCCAATCACGAGTCACTCACAAGTCACTCACAATCCAATTACAAGACCTAAGACTCCAAAGTTCATCACAAGTCAATCACAAGTCATTAGAATCAGTCACAAGTCAATCACAAGTTGACCAAACGTCAAGCACAACTCACTCACAAGGCCATCACTAATCAATCTCACGTTGTCCCAGTTTCAAGGCTGCCTGCATTCTGTGAATGAACCGTGAAAAAGAGATTCCTTGTCATCATCATCATCATTCATGGGTGTTGTCACTTGCAGACGTTTAATGTCCATTGTGATTCGTGGCGCCGAAGCCGCACGCTGAGCTCTTCGTGGTCACTTGATGTTAGATTCTAGGGGTGTGCATTTATGGGCAGCACAGGAATCGGATAGCCAATTGAAAAAAAAACCCACATGGGTACCCTTTAAAGAAACCCAATCCCAGAATTGAAATCTCGCAATGTGCTGTTCACATTGTTCAGAAATGTCAGAACGATAATACTACCACATCAGTGGTGCGTCGCTACAGCACAATACAAGTGTCAACATGTGAGCTCTTAATTTACGGGTTAAATTGCATTTTGGAAAGCGTCATAAAATCAACGTGAATCTGTTTTGTTTCCCATGTCGACTGCTTTTCATTTTGAAAATTCCCCATAAATGACGTTCACAACCTCTCTTTTTCATTTGTCTGAGAAATTTGTGAAGTACAGTGAAATCTCGAGAAGTCAAACTCTGATAACTCAAAACAATTGTTAAATCAAACAAAGAATCCATTGCTCTCAGTAGTATAACAATGATATACAACCCTGCTTAACTTCAAACTCTGCTCAAGTCAAATTTTGAACCTGTTCCCTTGGAGGTGTGACTGATCAAGATTTCACTTAAGTTACGGATACTTGATTCCATAATCTGCAACCAGTCCCTGACATCAGCGGTCGGGTACTTGGGTACTGCTTCTGATGCACGCCCTATTACATTCACTGATGATTTACATGTGATTGACTCGATGGCAACTTGAATAGTACCTCATAAATGCCCAATCTAGTTAGTCTCCAAATAATGAAGTACAGTGGACTCTCATTATTACAAAGTTCTCCGGACCTAGTTAATTTCCGGAAATCAATTATACGGAAACTTGTCTTGTGCGGAAAGCAATTTTCTCCACGATCCTGTGCACAAACTACATGTGGATGCAAGTTGCAACACATGGGTTTTCTTTATTGCCGTGCTTTGCTTTTAAACCTGTTCCAATAGAACATAAATAAAGCGAGATCTATGCATAATTAGTGTATAATATATAGCAATAAATGTTTAATACAGAAATAAAGGAAAAAACAATAAAACTGACAGATAATAATGTGTGAACAGAGCAGTGAACCCATTGTGCGATACCAAAGCTATCCATGTCAACATTGTGCACAAACGTGAGTACATCGCCAGCTGACGGCGATGGCTGCTTTCCGCTAATCTGCCTGTTAAGCTGTAATACACCGTGCTATGCGGCCCACAGCTGCTGCTGGACAAAGGCCGCTGTGCAGTCATGCGGATAAGCCAGTAAATTGAGGCATGACAATCCCGGCGTCAAGGGGTTAACATTACATGTATTTCCCTTTTGTAATGTCTGTTTTTTTACCTGTTTCTTCTTTGCCACAGGTTTTAGGAGTGGAACTGAAAGTTGTTGTGTTCATGATGGCAGTGGTCATGGCACTGATCGCCTTTCTGAGTTATCTCAGAGTCATCCTTGGTGGTGGAGGGAAAGGAAAAGATGGATCCACAGTTGCTGTAAGTTCAGATGATTTTTGGTTAGAATCGTGCGTTGACATTTTGCACGCATGATTCCAGCACACTACTACAGTTTGTAGTACACGTTATACATGTAATAGGGGTCCAAATTCACTCAACTATTTGCTGTCTATCAAATTTAGGTTATGAAGTGGTTGGACGACTGCAAACAGCCGTTACTTGAGCTTGCTGACTAGTTTTAATGACAGGATGACTGATTATCTATGACCTGCGGCAATGAAGCCAGCTAGATTCACTATAAGGATTTTATAGCACAAACACGGTTCTTGTAGTAGGGGCTGTTGTTTGGCTAGGATTTTCAGGGTCAAGGGTTCAACTCGGGTTAAGCAGGGCTCGCGAAATCAGCTGCCCTATGTCCCGGGATAACCAAAACATTTTGTCAGACACCCAAAAGTTTCAAGTTGCCAGCACGACGGACAACCACTTTTTCACCAATACTCACACATTTTTACACTTTATTTTAGTCCATGGGATATTCGAAAGTTCCAGAATCCCATACATGTGCACAGCGTCGAACAATAATCATGATAATATCGACATTTTGACTCAGCTGCTGCGCTATCGCCATTTGACAGAACAGCGGTCAATCTCAATCTGTACGTACGGTCCCGCTACATCATGCATAACGTTTCGCGTACGTAATGTGTGAAGGTAGCGAGTGCAATCCTGTACAAGCATTACATTCACTATGTGGACTTCCGAACAAAAGAGGTCACATAAACCAGGTAGCAGCGTCGTTGTGTGGACTTGCCCACGTCCACACATTGTTTCCCCCTCTCTGGAAAACAGGTTTAGAGGCATGTTTGGGCTAGGTTTATCGGTAGCAAAATGAAGAGAAACACTAAAGGGAATCATAGACAAAAAATTGGGTTAAAAGAGTTTTCACAGTGAATTGACTTGCAGTTAGGCGGACAGGCTAAATACCCCCTGTTCACTTACCGGGAGCCGCTTTCAATTGAGCCCCTCTTTTATCGGCTCCCGCTTGAAAAGAAAGCGGGTGACCTGTTTCTACAAACCGTCCCACGGTTGGCACTCCCGGCTCCCGCTACAAATAACCATTTTTATAACAATGAATCCTGCGGTTTCATACCCATCATTGGCGGCTTCTACTCACCGACCGCAAAGACCTGGTACATTGCTAATCCTCTGATCTTTTGTCTGCCCTAAACATACAAGCCCCACTGCAAACCGTCACCATGCACGGCTGTACCGTGTGCGTTCATGCGTGGACCGTCTCCCGCTTTGGCTTGAAGGGTCCCACACTTCCTCAATAACAATACCGTCCCACGGTAAATGAACAGGGGGTATTTAGCCCGCCCGCCTTAACTTGTGAGTGATTCGATTACAATATCCAGCACCATGGGACAGGAAACCTCTTTTGTGAGTTTGTGTGGTTCTGAAAAGAGCAGTACGCTTTACCTATCATCAGAAGACAGGTATCAATTCTGATATTGGTTTAACCCTTTTATATGGATAAGATCATCATAATTCCAGTTTCTGAGTTGATAATGTCGTCCTAACTCATTTTTTTCAGGATACCAGTGTCATAGCCCCGGCTCTGCACATCGGGTTCATCATTCTCTTGGCTGTCATCATCAAGCAGAAATCTCACACCGGACTGTATGAGAACCAGCCCTGCATCTACCTGCTGATGTTTGGCACGGTGGCCGCCAAGATCACCAACAAACTTGTGGTGAGTTTGAAACATTTGATATAGTTGACAAATCTGTTAATTGTGGATAGTTTATTCAACACATTCACACAATATCCACTCCGAATCCACTGATGTTGTCCACTGCACCCTCTCGCTGCCGTTTGGCGTAGTTGCCTCCAAGATCACCAACAAACTTGTGGTGAGTTGAGAGTCAACAAGTCTGTTAATTGTGGATAGTTTAGTCAACACATTCACATAATATCAACTCCGAATCTACTGATGTTGTCTACTGCATCCACTTGCTGATGTTTGGCATGATAGCCTCCAAATTCACCAACAACCTTGTGGTGTGTTGATAGAGTCAACCAGTCTGTTAAGTGTGGATAGTAAAATCAACACACATCCACACAATATCAACTCCAAATCCACTGATGTTGTCTACTGCATCCAGTTGCTGTTGTTTGGCATGGTTGCCTCCAAATTCACCAACAACCTTATGGTGTGTTGATGGAGTCAACCAGTCTGTTAATTGTGGATAGTAAAATCAACACACATCCACACAATATCAACTCCAAATCCACTGATATTGTCTACTGCATCCACTTGCTGATGTTTGGCATGGTTGCCTCCAAATTCACCAACAACCTTGTGGTGTGTTGATAGAGTCAACCAGTCTGTTAATTGTGGATAGTAAAATCAACACACATCCACACAATATCAACTCCAAATCCACTGATGTTGTCTACTGCATCCACTTGCTGATGTTTGGCATGGTTGCCTCCAAATTCACCAACAACCTTGTGGTGTGTTGATAGAGTCAACCAGTCTGTTAATTGTGGATAGTAAAATCAACACACATCCACACAATATCAACTCCAAATCCACTGATGTTGTCTACTGCATCCACTTGCTGATGTTTGGCATGGTTGCCTCCAAATTCACCAACAACCTCGTGGTGTGTTGATAGAGTCAACCAGTCTGTTAATTGTGTATAGTAAAATCAACACACATCCACACAATATCAACTTCGAATCCACTGATGTTGTCTACTGCATCCACTTGCTGATGTTTGGCATGGTTGCCTCCAAGTTCTTTAACAAACTTGTGGTGTGTTGACATAGTCAGACGGTCTGATTAGTTGATTGTGGATAATTTAACAAACACATTAAATACCATCAACTCCTGAATCAGTCAATCCACTAATAATCTGTCTAAATTTGTTGACTTTGGACACTTTGATCACCATCCAGAACTTGAATCAACTTCTGATCTGTTGATGCTCTTTTTCCTTTTTCTGTTTGAGATGGTTATCCTGTCTGAGTTTGTTGATTGAACAATTTAAACAATGGAACCCAAAGTGATCAACATCTGATTCAACTCCCAGTGTACTTTCTCCACAGATTGCTCACTTTACCAAAAGATTAATTAGATCTTTCTGTATGCAGTCTCCATCCCTACCACAAAAATGGCACATTAACATGCAATATCAACAAACATCAAAATGCTGTGAACAACCCATCAACTCTGAATCAACCAATTTCTGCACTTCTTCTGGACCCCGTTTTCATCTTAAAATGTAAAAGTTCAACAACACATACATTGTATCAACACCCCATGAACCCCCAGTTAACTGCACATCAACTAATTTTCAGGGTATCCACTCTTCTCCCAGGTTGCACACATGAGCAAAAGTGGCACTGGTCACAGTTTTTGTTACTAAGTGTAATAGTTCAACACATATCAGCATCCAATTAACACCCAATAACCTCCATTTCAACAAACTTTCACAGTGTCCACTCATCTCTACGGTATCCACTCATCTCCACAGGTTGCTCACATGAGCCAAAGTGTCGTGTATTAACTGGACATACATGTAGTTTTCATTACCAAAGTGTAATAGTTTGCCACATCAACACCCCATGAACACCCAATCAACTATACATCAACTGATCTTCATGGTATCCACTCATCTCCACAGGTTGCTCACATGAGCAAAAGTGCCATGGATCTGCTGGACACCGTTTTCATCGGACCGGGACTTCTCTTCCTCAACCAGTATTTTGACACGCCGTTGCCTGAGCACATTCTTCTCTGGATCGCTATGGTGAGAGCAATAATTGCCCGATGTTGTTACTTTGTAATTGGAAATGTTAGGCACTGTAGGGACATTTAAAGTTAGGCAGATTGCTATTATGGACACGTACAAAAGGAAGATGGGCCATTGTAGACGTAATTTTGAATTTTCAGCAGATACTGTTTTTCTGTTTTCAAACAATGGCTTCAAAGCCAGCTTCGGCTTCAAGTTCCAGTGACATGACTATATTCCCCTGATTTGCCTAGTCTAGGGCCCGTCTTGATTCATATCCGGGACAACTTCTGGACAAGTTCCGTGTAGAATCATTCACTTTGTCCGGAAGAAGCTCTGCATTTGTCCCGGACATGTTCCGGGCAAATTTTCATTCGCAACTGCTTGACTCACCAATACTGATAACTTCATTGCGGGAAGATTGCGGGGAAGTTGTTCAGAATCCTGCAACTCATACCCGATACGATGTCTGCAACTTGTCGGGAAGTCGTCCCGGATATGAATTGAGGAGGGCCCTTATGAATTTGCAGAGTTGTAATGACTCAAGTCAATGACTCGACTCGAGTCCGACTTGAGTCACAATTTTTGGCGACTCGACTCGACTCGAGTCCCTAAGGGTAAATGACTCGACTCGACTCGAGTCACTGCGAGCAAATGACTCGACTCGACTTGAGTCCCTCATCAGAAGACTTGACTCGACTCGAGCGAAGGCTAATAAGCCTCAAGTCCCAAAAATAAAAGCGCAACTTTGCGAAAAGTATTTGCAAAACGGTGCAAAATTTATGCTCACTTTACTTTGCGAATAGCAGTCATGTACAAATATACAAAGTGTCACAGATTCCCATCTCGTGGTTCTTGAACGCACAAAATACTATCCAGGAACCAGATTTTTAAACACATTTTCTAATTCGCTGTTTCATCATTGGTTTTTGGCAATTTCTTATAAAGCTATTGGATTCGAACGCTGGCTAAACTTATGACCTAATTTTATAAATTTTGGTATATAGTGTTCAAATAATCGTGACTCGAATTGACTCAAGCTAAATATTTGACTCGACTCAACCTTTTGACCTAATGACTCGACTCGAGTCACTTTTTCAAAATGACTCGACTCGAGTCACTTCTTTAAAATGACTCGACTCGACTCGAGTCACAAAAATCAGTGACTCGTTACAACTCTGTGAATTTGGATCATGTTCTTCTTTTAGATCTACTGCATGGCGGACCTGATTCGCTACGCCATCCTCGTGTGCCAACAGATATCGGTAAATCTCGGCATTTACTGCTTCGACATAACGCAACGCAGGCCCATCCAAGTCAGTGCCCGACCCGCCCTCAAGTAATGCCTCCAATGTCCACCTTTTAAACTGCACTATTTGTCTTTTTTTTAAACTGTGTTCGAGTAGCTTTTATGTAATGCATTATAGTATCTTATAAGGGTCTTTTGAAATGGTTTTCTTAAATGTTTGGGGTACAGAAGCGCACAGTATGTAGACTAAAATGTAGCATTAAGGAGAGCGGATTACACGAAACATGGTTTAGCTGTTAATTGTAAATTTGTTTGTTGAAATGTAATAATCAAATGCTGTAGTTTATCATTGCATACATTTACCTGCCTCTCAACAGTTTCCATTTGAGAAGTTATACTTAAAACAAATACCAAGTTTTGTTGGTAATTTAAATGTCCACGTTAGTCAATAGACCAATCCATTAGGCCCCACCTACTGCCCACATGGACACCTCTTCCATGCCACACTGCATGTTTCAGCTGCAGCATCATACGCGCGTGCACACGTCGGACTTTTGTGCACACATGTCAGACTTTTGTGCACACGTCAGACTTTTATGCACGCATGTCGGACTTTTGTGCACGCATGTCGGACTTTTGTGCAAGCATGTCTGACATTGACCCCATGGGCTCTGTGCACAAGTACCCCTTCAACGGTCAGAAAAGGAGAGTTGGGGGAGACCTAGACTGGTTCCCGGTTGATCCACTGCATTTTTGGAATGATACAAAGTTATTGGGGGCGGGGATTAGCCTGGGAAACCATCGCAAGTTAAAGTCGAACGTATTCGCGTGCCGATGCTTGACGCTCACGCGAAGACGTTGTGGCTAATAGCTTTTGCAAATTCAGGAAGTCGTGAGTACATGTACTTGCGACTTCCTGAACCAGTACAGTCAGTACACTCAAGCTGTGTGTCCCATCCACGGAGCTCTCAAAAGGTGTAAAAATGCGCCTCTTTTGTTGGCGCACGGAGCCCGCCATAACCCCTCGAGTGAAAAAAATCAAAGACTTTTGATCTCTGGCTGTGCTCTGTGGTCATATATGGGTCGTATGGCTGGATGCTTAAGGCACCTTTACATGCATTTCAGCTGCTCTGCTGGGAGTTAGGATGATTACACTCCCAAATTATTATTATTATTTATTATGATACTAAGATCCTTCCTTACTCTTCCAAAATCCGACATCCTAATGTAAAGTCTACACCCAAACTGTTGGATTCTGACTATGGTGGTATGCCTGACCCCATGTAAAGCATAATCAGTTTACTGGTGCAGTACTAGTCCAAAAATTTGGGACTCTCCATACGGGTGTATGAGAGTCCCAAAACTTACGATAGTAAAAACATGTGTGAGGGATGTCGGACGTACTTGTAAGTTACGATGCACTTGTAAGTTTAACGGTGTGCGGCAACAGCGCCACCTTGCGGCGGCCTTGGCATTCCTCACGTTGCCATCGCCTCCGCTGTTGGCCTGTCCGCTGCACACCAACTTTCAGGTAAATTTCTCTATTTTGTTAACTGTAAATTCCATTTAATTTAGATAATCATACTTTTGGTGGAATATAGCAATTGTGGGACAACTTTGGTAACGTTTAAAGGGATATTTAAATGGGTAATTTAGGTCAAACTTTTCTGTAACTTTTCGATCGATGAACAAATGGAGGCCCTCTTGCGGTACGTTCAGAATAGTTCGTATACATGTACATGTATCTCATGCCCAAAATTGACGATGCCATGACTGAAAACTATTGTTGTTATTCTTGTATTAAAGTTGTTGAAATCATATGGATCTTCAGTGAAGTTAGTACTAAGGTTTATTCATTTTGACTTGACACATATAAACAAGCTTTTCTGTTCTTTTAGTCACATGAAATTGTACATGTAAATGCACATGTAGGAAGATTTATCACATGTAAACAAACATGTACTTGGGGAATTTATAACATGAGTGCCCTACTTATACATATGATTGGAACTTGGATTTGTGTAGAATATGTGGACTTTAATTAAGCTGGATTTTATCTCTAAGGTTACACAGTAATTAGAGAGTAATCCGAGAGTACTTGTGAAATATTGATTCACAGTCTTTATTTCAATTCACATGTTAATTAATGACTCAAGTGACAACCAGAGTAAACTCTTTGTCATTGCAGTCAGTAAGTAAGTCCATATACGGTAAACAAATTAGGCTTTCATTAAATTCCAGTAGGAAAACTGACCAGGGTAATTAATTTCCTGACGGTTCCTAAATTTAATCTGTCGTTATCTTGCATCAAAGTTCTCGTCTGATGATTTTCAAACTATACATGTATAAATTTTGTCTTAAGTTAACTTTCAGGGAATACTTGATTTATTTTGTTTTCTCTTTCTTTTTATTTTGAATTCCTCACGTTGCCATCGCCTCCGCTGTTGGCCTGTCCGCTGCACACCAACTTTCAGTGGCTGAAATAAAACATCACATATAGAGATCCGAATCCTGGGTGTTTGCTGTGTTCTTTACCAAATCACCACAGCTGACCAAACAGCCCCCCCCCCACAAGTGTCAGAAGTGGGATCTCTTTTTTCAGCCAGTCTGCCAGCAGCGGGGGATTGAGGATCCGTCACTGAATTCAGAGTCGTCGAGATGGCAACCCACGTCAGCGTACGGTCACTAACAGAAGAAAAGGCGAGGAAATTTTGCCTGGTTGAAGGGCGTCTGCCTCTCCAAAGCCTGAAAGGGTGTTACCCTGATGCAACCGGGCTGATTCACAAAATTGACCAGGACAATGAACTGATTCTGCCAATTGTGAATGGGGCCATTCTCCCGCCAGAGGGGGGATGGGAAGTAGTAGAGTACACACCGCTTACCAGAGCCGAGATCAAAACAGAACCGCCCCATACCGAGTCCCCATCAGAGGAGCTCCTGCGTGCGCTCGTAGCCAAACCATCCCAAGTCGTGATGGCACCCGAGCGCAAACTACCGGTATTCGAGGGACGAGATGATGAAAAGTCGGTGCCCGTTGATGACTTTGTGACAGCAATGAACCACGCTTATGAGAGATACCACATCCCGGAAGACCAGCGGGGCCAATTTCTACTGGATTCACTCCGGGGTGGTCCGAAAGTTGAAGTGCGGTCACTGTTGTCTTCCGGTAAAACCGCAAAGGAGGCCTTGAAGTACCTAACGACGTCATATGGGGAGACCCTAACAAGTGGAGAGTTGCAGCGGCGGTGTTTGGAACGACGACAGCAGCGTGGTGAGTCCATTCGTCAGTTTGGCGTGGAGCTACAACGACTGTTCCAACGACTATTTAAGCGAGACCCCGGACTATACAAAGATCCAGACACCATCATCCGAGAGCAATTCGTAGACGGCATAGAGCAAGAGGGGCTGAGGCACTCCTGCAGAGACTTTGTCGATCGCAATCCATCTATCTCCTTCGGAGAAGTGAAGGACTGGGCCATAAAGCGGGAGGAACGAGAACGGGCCCGAGCGCAGACTACAGCCTTTCAAAGTACCTCATCGGCTATGGAGGCTGGGATGAAACCTGACGCAATCCAGCGACTGGAGAAACAGATGCAAGAAATCATGGTATCTGTGAAATCCCTCGCCGAGAGGATTCCACCTGCTGAAAGACTGCCTACTCCGATTTCCCCCCAAGCCCTTTTGGCACAGCCTGGGGGCCGACCTCCCAGACCTTGGTGGCACCAGACAGACTACCCCAACTTCCCAAAGCCGAGAGCCATTGACAACCCGTATACTGCACCAGTTCAGTCCACTCCAAGATGCTTCAGGTGTGGCCAACCCGGACATTTTGCGAGGAATTGCCTCAACTCTGCTCGGCCACGCCCAAACCCCCCACTCCCTTCACCATTAGGAGCCATGGGTCCTTCGGGAAACTAGTACATCCTACTGTTGGGAGCCAAACAGTGGGGAATGGAATAACTGGCTCAACTCATCATGACTTACCTGGTTTTCAAGCACGTGCTGCCTCAGATTGTTATGCAGTTGATGTGAAGTTTGGAAACCAGACTGTTTCTTGCTTATTGGACACAGGATCCATGGTCACTACCATCACCCAGGGCTACTTTGACAGGGTGCTGGCACCAGAGGGTGTGAAACTTGAGAGTATTCCAGAGAAATTCAGACTCATCTCAGCTAATGGCGCAAGCATCCCCTATGTAGGATGTTTTGAGACTGATGTGCATTTGCTGGGAGTGACTGTTCCATCCCGACTCGTTTTAGTCATACAAGAGGCAGGGTCTAATGCTAGTCCCTCTAATGCCCCAGGCATTGTGGGGATGAACATTTTGTCTGACTGTTGGTCTAAACTAATTGACAGTCATGGACAGGGATACCTCCGCAAACTTCAAGTGGACGGCGTTGAACCGGTGTGGGAGAAGACGCTGCAGGCCATTAGGAAGCGTCGAGCTTTTAACGAGGTCCAAGCTGCCATTGGGAAGGTGCATTTGAAAAGAGGACCCCCTCTGCTAGTCCCTGCCCAGCACGCTGTTGTTGCAGAGGCGTCCGCACGGAGAGCACCAGGAGATGTTGACTACAAAGCAGTTCTCGAACCGTTTGAAGGTACCAACCTCCCGCGGGGTGTTCAGGTGGTGAGAGGATTGGTGACTGTTTCCTTGGGAAAACTGGCTGTGGTGCTGATGAATGACAGTGAGCAAGATGTTCTTCTGCCAGAACGCAGTTGTTTGGGTACCCTTTATCATGGAGACGTTGTAGAGGAGGTCCCGATGAACAAATCCGGAGAGACCCCAATGAGTCCCGTCTGCCACGATGCCACCCCAGCATGTAGGCAATCCAACTCAGACCCGCCAACAACTGAAGTAAAGATTGATGCAGAATTGACGGGGCAGCAACTCAACAAATTTCGTACCCTTCTGTATAGATTTGATGATGTGTTCGCCAGAGGGGAGGGAGACTTAGGGTACACAGATGCTGTTCGACACCGAATAGAGACAGGGGATGCTCCCCCGATCCATCAACGCTACCGATCACTTCCTCCTTCCCAATATCAAGAAGTACGGGCTCATATACAGAAATTGATGGAGGCTGGCATTGTTCGTGAGAGTTCCAGTCCTTGGTCCGCTCCAATAGTGGTTGTGCGGAAGAAGGATCAGTCAATAAGACTCTGCGTCGACTATCGTCAGTTGAATACTGTCACCGTGAAGAACTCCTTCC